CATAAAATTTATTTTTAATTAATGTGTGATAATCTTTATGGAGTAAGTTTTACTTTACCTTTGTAATTGCAACATTGCTTGAACATGTAACATTTCTAAAAATGTTTTAGTGTCAGTTCATCATTTTGGTATCAAATTTAAACTAAAAAAAAAAAAAAAAAAAAAAAAAAAAAAAAATCTGAAATGTTTCAGATTTTAAATTATGTCCAAAGGGGCGTTTTTTAACATTTTGTATATTACCTTTCTTTATTAAATATCATGTTCCTCGCACTTAAACCATAAGATCCAGTGCAACAGCAATATCGCAAAATAGTTTTAAAACGAGCATATCTTTAGAATTTCCGATACAGAGACTCACGCGCTGGAGATAAAAATGTTTTTCTGCACAACGTTGCCATTGCTCGCTTTGAAATCCTTGAGTTTGTTAATCAAAAATTCGTCAAAGTTTTAAAAAATAGGAAATCGATCATAAAACAAATTTCAAATTTCAAATTTGGTCTTCCACATGCTCATATTCGTTGGAGGATTACGTTATTCAAAATTCGATGACTCTATGTACCGTTGTTTTATCACAATACGAGAAATATACATACATTTATGCAGATTTTTCATTATTTAATTTCTTCAAATATAATGCAGGACTCTAACATTTTGTGGCAACAGTTTGAAAAGTGAACCGACATTTATGAGTCCGACGCAAAATGCCAAAACGAAACTAATAGTCCTTCGGGATTCAAATCCCTTTGGACTAAAAAAGAGAGAGAGCCTCCATTTTTATTAGTTTTGGAAGTAGTTTTCTTACAAATATACGAAACAAAATTCTTGTTTGGACTCACTGTCTGATAATATGGCAAAGCTTCACTTTTTACTATAATCATGTGCTACACCTTAACTTTATACACCGCTATCTGGAGTAAAACCCATTCAGTATTCAAAACATTTCATTACATATTAACACAAATAGTCACTACTGTATCACAATGCTAGCTGAAACATTTCAAATTATATAAAATTCATCTTAGGAAGGCGTTAATTTTAGAGAATACGAATTTCATGAGAATCTGATACACTAAGATTGGCCAAACTAAGAGAGCCTTAAAATTTCGCATCAAGGAACATGAGGGATATGTTAGAAAAAAAGGAAACACTGAAGCCTTCTGTTGCCCAACATCGTTGGTCCGAAAATCACACTTTCAATTTTTCTGCTGCCAAAATTATTCAAAAAACATTTTTCATTGGAGAACTGGATTTTCTAGAGGCATTTCACATTCAAAAAAATCTTTCTGTTCTAGTTAACGATCCTAATTCCAATCCATCTTTGCCTTCGGCCTTTAAAGAAATTATGTTTTAGTTCTGGTTTCATCAACGTTAGTTTAGCAGAACAAGAGAGAAGTCTAAAATATAATTTTAACTTCTCAAAAACCTGTAAACCCTCGATTCCAAAGATTTTGGCTCCTATCGAAAAAGCTTTCATGTTCAGTAAAGTTTCAGATTCACAGAAAGAAATGATTAGGCATCTTATCGCTCATAATGTGAAATTCAATAATAAACCTTTGAAACCAAATCTAACTGCGAGGGAAAGAGCTACAATGCGCAAAATTCCTTCTAACCCGGGTATTGTCATTTCAAAGGCCGACAAAGGTGGCCGAATAGTCGTCATGGATAAGAACACTTACATCGATGGTGTCACTAAACTCTTACACGAAGGAACATATAATCCAATCCCTAAAGATCCTTCAACTTCGGACCTGTCAAAAATAAAAACTGCGATCAAATCTTCACAAATGATTTCAAGCAACTTAAAACATTCGCTTATCCCATCTGTTGCGAATTGTGCCAGATTATATGCTCTGCCCTATTGTATCAAATTTAGGTACTGCCTCATATCCATTAGCTAAATATTTAGTTTCTAGATTTTCAACTCTATTAGACAATAACATTTACACCATAAAAAATTCAATAGAGTTTGTAAAAAAAGGTTAAAAACATTTCTCCCAGAAATTTACTTATGGTTTCTTTTGATGTAAAATCATTATTCACCAATGTTCCAGTGGAGGGTGCATTAAGATGTCTAGAAACCAGACTTCGCGAATTTCATTTCTATTGCATCAAAATTGATGAGCTAATTTCTCTCACTCTGTTTGAAACAAACACATTTTGTTTTCCAAAATAAATATTACAAGCAAACTGAGGGATTAGCCATGGTAAGCCCCCTCAGTGCCATCCTGGCTGATATCTACATGCATTATTATGAATCAAAATTGTTTGAAACTTTAAACTTCCCAGTATGGTTCCGCTACGTAGACGATACTTTTACCCTGTTTGAGGGTAATAAAGATGATTTAAATAAAGTTCTTTCAACAATGAATTCTATTGATCCTGCTATTAAGTTCACTTTTGAACTTGAGACTTACAATTTTCTTCCATTTCCCAACATTCTGGTCACACGTAACACATCCAACTTCAGTACTACCGTTTACCGTACTTTCATCGGTTTGCCTTCCACCACACTTTAAATCATGTCATCCGACTAAACAAAAGTTAGTTTCATTTTATTCCTATGTTTTTTCATGCTCTTCAAGTTTGCTCTTCCAAACTATCCCTTGATGAAGAACTAAATTATTTAAAAGCAATAGCTGTTGACAGGGGCTTTTCACCCAACATTATTAATCAAGCAGTTAAAAAATTCTCACCTCAACACACTACAAGGCAAACTCTTGTTTTAGAAGATTATAAAAATTGTGTTGTCATTCCCTTCTTTCCATCAATTAGCTTTAAAGTTGCACATATTTTGCAGAAATTTAACTTTCGGGTCGTTTATTCTCCCATCAATAAAATTCCGAGTTCCATACTCAAAGACCCCATTCCAGATATGAATTCCTGGGATGTTTATAGGATTCCTTGCCAGTGTGGTTTAATTTACATTGGCCAAATTAAGAGAGCCTTAAAATTTTGCATCAAGGAATATGAGGAATATGTTAGAAAAAAGGAAACACATAAGTCTTCTGTTGCCCAACATTGTTAGTCCGAAAATCACACTTTCGATTTTTCTGCTGCCAAAATTATTCAAAAAACATCTTCCATTAGAGAACTGGATTTTCTAGAGACATTTCACATTCAAAAAAATCTTTCTGTTTTAGTTAACGATCCTAATTCCAATCCATCTTTGCCTTCAGCTTTTAAAGAAATTATGTTTTAGTTCTGGTTTCATCAACAGATGGCACCACTAGCTTATTTTCTGTCCAGGCTTTCTTATCTGATCATTATATCCTATCTCGTTCATTTGCGTTTTTGCAGCTGATGATGGTGGTTCGGTAAAACCATCAAAACTAGTCCTGTGAAAATTTGAAAATATAACGCTGATTTTTGTTGTTTGACTTCTGAATTAGAATCTGATATACCTCTCTCAAAATATTTGTATTTCTCTAAATTCAGCACAAATTTAAGGCTGTATTCTATCAGATTTTAATAATTAAATTAACACATATTTCTTAATTCTTACTATCTCATGATCAAATAAATTAAATGTACAAAATAAAATTATTCTATTATAATCATCACGTTTTTATCGACTAAGAAAACAAATTAACAGTCAAATACTTTCTTTTGATTTACGTTCTTCTGTAATCAATAGTTCAACCTTATCCCAAATTTGAAAATGTAAGTATGAATTATAGAGATTTTCTTACAAAAAAAATATTTTAACAATATTTCTATTTTTCTAAAAACAGAATATAATTTTAAACAAGTTGTTTTAAATTAGCATTATATAGAATTAAAAAAAATCCCGTAAAAGAATTATATAAACTGATATACCGTAACATAAACTTGTGACCCACAAACAAATCCATAGAAATTATGGTACTTATATATTACCACAGCCACCTTAGAAGTCATAAATTTTTCAGAATGTGCCAAACTGTGGCAACTATGCACATAACTCTTCTTCAGGCAACATTCATAACAATCCTTCAGTTAAGCAACCAAGGTGGTTGCATTAATATTGTTACAAAATGTGCAGGCGCGGTAAGATGGTTTTCAGCAAAGCAGCTTTAGGTTTGCCATAAAATGACAAGGGAAGGCATGGTTGCCACATTTGGCGAGAAATCGCCCATTTGGCGACATACCATGGACAGTTGGAGAACCTTCTGGAATGAATTCTTACCGGCTTAGTACAGAATGTTCCCGAACACAAGCCGAAAGCTATATAAACCCTGCTGGTCTGCAGTCAGTAAGTGTGTCTCTCATCGAGAGTGTGTGTGCCTCGTCTAGCGAGTCAATCTCTGCGGAGTCGATCGAGTTGACAGCCGGGCAGCAAGTGCCGAGCGGGTCGTCGAGTCCACCGAAGGAGTCTGTTAGTGTATCGCGGTTAGTGCATCGTTGAGAGAGCGTGTTGAGCTCCGGGAAAGACTGAACCGAAGAGTCAGGAGCTGTGCTCGTGTGTCGTCGGGTGCATCGCGAATTGTAGCGTGGAGAGTCTCGAGAGAACGTGGAGTTACGAGAACGACCAAGCAGAGTCGGGAGCTGTACTCCGGAAAGCAGAGACTTGCAGGAAGCTGTCTCTACCGTGATAGCCTGATAACCTGAAGGCTGCTGTGTCACTGATCGTGTCAGCGTGTTTATAGTAGATCTTCGATGACGGTAAAATGCGTTTCAGAGCTGTCCTGACAATACTGGCAAATAAAGTGTGTTTCGATACTTCATAAAGTGTTGTCGTTATTCACTCCAAATCTACATGAACCTCGTAACATAACGTAAAGAAGAATAGGAAAAACGTAACAATATATATGTTTCATCATATAATTATTAGAATTATACTATAAACTGATACATTGAAACATGATTTAATGATCCGCAGACAAACCTACAAAATTTTTATCACAAACTTATAAACTTAAGTCATAAAAACATACTTTGAGATTTCATTACTACATAAAATTAAATGTAAATAGCATTTATAAGTCTCCCAGCTTTTAAAATAATGATAATCATTCACTTACCGAATACATTGCTTTTTCTTCTTCAATTTCTCTTGCAAGTTTTAACTGTTCAGCTTCTTCTTTATCATGAAGCAGGTATCTGTTGGAATGTCCCTTCAGGATTAAAATTTGAAAATTTGGAACAATAATAATACATTTTTTCATTACCTAATGAACAGCAATGGAAATATATAGAAATTTATAGGCCAGGGAGGGTGCCACAGTGATGCATTTGGCACAGTTATGGAAAAGAGGAAACCAGAACTTCTAATACAGTGGATAAGATCTCTTACGTTATAAAATCATCATCTACCATCCCATATTTGATGGACTGTGCATTCATTTCAGCGCACTGTGATGGGGTTAACACATTCACATCGACAGTCACATCTGAAAATAAAAAAACGTCAAAAATGATCAACTAGGTAAAATTAGAACAAAAATTTTATATACTAAACCATTTAATGAATAACCATTTAATAATATATTTTGCAATATTGAGGGTATTTATCTTTTGACAAGAATGGAAAAAGTTTAATCAAAACCATATCTTCAAACCTTTAATAAGATTTATATGGCAATGTAAATAAATCACCTTCATTTGTAGATTTTCTAGGGCATTACTCACATTCATTTTTAATTGTAATGAAAATAACATGAATCTGGACTCAAAATCCTTAACTTCTTACATTCTTCTTTAAATTCTTATTATAATAAATCATATAATAATAATATTAACAAATTTATGGGAAATATATTCAACGGCCACATAAAATTACTTCAGAAATTGCATGTGATTCACGAGCCGCGAGTTGAGACCATTGATTTATAGGATCAACTTGATTGACTACTGCAGAAAGAAAGACTAAAATGTAAATTATTTGCATGGATAGTATTTCTATACTGTTTACATTTATATATAGAAAGAAATTTAGAAGAAATGCAGGAAGTGAAATCAAATTCAGTATCTTATGGACAACAGGTAGAATGAATTTTTACTTGGTAACAAAAAATGAAAAAAAAAAAAAAAAACCCTCTCAAAATTCTTCCGTCTTTTACATTTTTTAATTATATTATAACAGCTTTAAAAATAATTTTTTTATTGATTTTCACAATTATTTTATGATTATTTGTGGTTGTATTTATAAATGTATATTATTATTTTTAAAACATGATTTTCTAATCTCTATGGAAAAGGTTACACTACAATAGCTTTACTCATTTATAAAAAATAATACAATATCTCACAAAAATGATCAGCCACTATATCTTTTTTAATTTTTTAAGTAATAGGAGGAAAGCTTAGCAATAAAATAATAAAAAATATTTTCCCTTTGAATACATATTTTCTTAGCTCTCTCTTTGTACTAAATAAATTTGAAAAAATGAGATCTGAAATGGGGGAAAAAAGATACCACCAAATTAATCAGACATTTTCATAATTTCTAATTAAAATCGTCTACAATAAATAAAAAATGAAATTTTATGGAATTAGTTTAGATAAAGATGCTAGGAAAAAAATCTAAAAGTTGTTTGCTTTTATAATTCGAATTTTCTTATTCGTTATTTCAACGTTTTCTTGCAATGGCTTGGCCATGAAACGAAAACCCACAGATTAGTTATTAATTTGCATCAAAAGAAAGGGAAACCTATTAGAAAAATTGCCAATTTAACTTAAGTAATTCTACAGTTTTTGATATTAATAAGCATTTTAAGAAACAGAACCATATTCAAAACAAAAAAAGACCTGGAAGACCATCTAAGTATCTCATGGAATGAAACGCTTTATTCTTATCAAAAAGAATCCAAGATTGAGTGCTCCTAAATTTGTTACGAAACTTCGTGAATTATATAGAATATGTGTAAATGCAGAAACTGTAAAAAACGTAATGCAATCTGCAGGATATCATGGTATCATGGGCGAATAGCAAGATGAAAATTTTATGTCAGTAAACAAAAACCAAAACTTGACTCGTTTTCACAAAATCGATGAAACAAAAGACACCAAACTACTGGGGAAAATGTGGTGTTTGCTGATGAAAGCAAATTTAACATCTTCGGTTCAGACAGATGAGTGCCGGTGTGGAGAAAACCCAAAGAGGAATTTCAGGAGCAAAACTTAGTACCAAGCGTTAAACACGGCAAGGAGGAGTTATGGTATGGGGATCTATGGCACATTCTAGTATTGGTAATATAGAATTTATAGATGGTGTTATGAATCAGTGTAAGTCTTGAAGTGCAATTCCCATCATCAGCACAAAAACTTGATATACAAAATAATTTTAAATTCTACCAGGACAATGATCTAAAGCAGTGGTCGCCAAACATACGAAGCTTCCGAACTATGACACCCTTTTTAAATCCTACTGTGAGCTACCAACCAAAAGAACTACCAAATACATAAAAAAATAAATAAATAAATAAATAAAGTTACATTTGTTTATTGCCTATAAACTTACATTTCTAGTAAACATGAAATCAATTTTAATTAAACTATATTTTAAACAAAAAGAAACTGAGTTGTACATAAGAAAGAAATTGAAGTGTAAGTTAGTAATAAGCAACAAATGTAATAAGATATTTTATCAGACTTATTAACTTTAATGACAGGGATGGAACTTTTTTTTTTACCATCAACACGTTTTTTAATGCTGGGAAAGTAGGTAATGGCTGCCATTTGAATATAGTTGTCCAAGAGTTAATCAGAGAGTCAGTTTCTTTATTAATTTTAATAAATTTCATACTGGAAAAAGAAATTACACACAGATATATAGAGCTGAACATTGCCTTCACTTTGAAACAAACCTGGACCAAAATTGGGTATTTTTCTTTAGGAACAATAGGCCAAACATTTTCAGAGCTTGAAGAAAGAGATTTTACAGATAAATCATTTTAAAATCAGTCAGTTCCAACCCCACTACAGCATTAATTCTTGAAAATCAAAATGCTTAATGACACAAGTACAGAACTCCTCAACATAACAATCGCTATAAAAGGGAATTTGATAAACTGTAAAATAAAACTGAAATTATTTTCAAATCTTGGAGGCATTTGTAAACTTCTCAAATACAAAGTAATTTGAATGTATTTTTTGCTATTTTAAGGAGGCGTTGAAACCTCCTTAAAATAGCAAACCTCTTTTCAAGATTTTTCAAGGGTTTGCTTCCAAAAGGCTTCACCTTGAATGATATTTTTATCCCACACTTCCAGCTTTTTGGAGAATGAAGCAAAATCTGAAATTGTTCTGCCAATATCTTTATCCCTCGAGGCAAGTTCGTCGATGTCTGCAAGGAAAGTAAAATTCTGTAGCCAAGCCAGATCTTCTAGTTCACAAAAGTATTTGCTTGTTCTTTCATAATTCATCTAAAGCAGACAGCAACTCTTGAAAATGCTGTAAAACTTTGCCTCCACTCAACCAACAAACTTCCATATAAGGCACTATATCACCATACTGGCAATCTAGTTCATCAGTCAGTGCTCTGAACAAACATTTCTGAATTACATGTACTCTAACTTTGTTTAATATTTTATGACTGTTTTCATTACATCATACTTAAAAACTTTCCACACAGTGACTTCTGGTGTATTACTCAATGGTAAGACAGAAATTTCAGAAAGCTGTTGTCTTTACGACACAAGGTTATGAATCCCTTCTCTCTGCCTACCATCACATGAGCTTCATCAGTTGCTAAGCCTACCAACTTATTTATAGGAATATTTTGAGAGTTGGTAAGATCTTTAACAGCTAAAAATATGTCCTGTCCCATAGTGCTTCCTATTAACAGTATAATCTTTACCAGCTCCTCTCTTATTTCAAAATGATAAAAAATCATTCTTGAAAAACATTAGAAAAAGTTGTGAGTAACATCAGAACACATAACATTCTTATTATTGTATTTGCATGTAGAGATGTAGCGATTAAGCTGTAGAGATTTAAGAGCAGACATTATTCCAGTTTTATTTTTGAAACTATTAAATAATACATCTGCAGCTTCTAAAAATGCAGTTTTGGTTATTTCACCATCTTCCTATAGTTTCTCATTCTGTGCAATAATATTTGAAACTCGGAATGATGCCTTAGTTGCTCCTTTATTCTTGTTTAATGATTTCAAAAAAGTTTATTGTTGAGCATTAAGTTTAGATTTTAGCTGCCTTACCTTTCCTTTTCTTTTTCTTTTTTTTTTTTAGAGCAGAATTCAGTGGGAAGTCCTTTTCAATCCCTATGTGAACGATTTTGAAGTGACGTTCGACATTCCCATTCTTCCCTACTAATACACTTGCATAGCACAGTAAACACACACATTTATCCTTTGCCCAAGTAAAAAAAGTAACCAGTTCTCCATTCTGAATAAAAGTGATAAGTTTTTTGCTGAATACACCATCATTAGAACAGACCTGGCTCAGTACCAATGCGTAAATCAATCTATCCAAATTAGCAAATGTCTCATATACACACGAAAAACATAATGCACACAATCTCATGCATATGCAATCAACTATGAGATGAGGTTGACAATAGTAGTTGCGCGGGAGTCATAGTTGTGCGCGTTGTCATGCGTGCCCTCTGTATCAGTGTCAGCTCAGTGGAGGAATCAAGATTAGCCAACCGAAGCGTTAATCCGATCTATCGAAAATGTCCTCGTGAGCTACTGAATATATCCCCGCGAGCTACTAGTAGCTAGCAATTGATGGTTTGGCGATCACTGATCTAAAGCAAACTACACACAATGTTAGACTCTGGCTGTTATATAAGTGTCCAGAAGTAATTAAGGCACCACCCCAATTGCCAGATCTTAATCCTATTGAACATATTTGGCAGGAACTAGAATCAAAAATTCTAAAACAGAGCATATCTTCACAGCAGCAACTGAAAGTAGCAATTCAAGAAGAGTGGCATAAATTAAAGAAAAGAAAGAAACGAACTTGTGAAGTCAGTTTTAACGAAAAAACTTGTGAAGTCAATACTCAAAAGATTAAATGAAGTGTTAAAGCATAAAGGTAATCCCCAAAAGATATTATGAAGGAAAAACAATGTAAGTTTCTTTCATTTCTGGCTGTTACTAGAAGTGTCCGATTATTTTTCCTCATTAAACAAATTATATTGATTTGCGAATTTAATTTTCATTTTTTCGGAAATGTATTTACTATAAAAAATATTCAATTTATATATAATCAAAATAAAAGCCTTTCTCTTTGTTTAACTGTTCATTAAAGAAAAAAAAATTCAAAGTGTCCCATCATTTTTGTGAGCCACCATAGATGTTAGGTTAAGGCATTTTTAAAGAGGAATGGATATCTAATTACTGCAGAAAGTCAATTAATTTAGAAAAATAATATATATATATATATATATATAATTATATATATATATATATATATATATATATATATATATATATAGAAATTAGATTATATATATATATATATAAATTTCTATATTATACAATTAAAAAAGGTCACTAGATATCTTAGATTCACTTTCAAATTACCTAGATCAATATCACTAAAATCCTCCTCTTTTTCCTCATCATTTTCATCATCATCATCGTCTGCATCCAATTTTTGAGCATTATTTGGATGCGGAGGAGAATCAGTACTATCTTCATACACATAACCAATGGCTGCTTTTTTGTCAAGAAACCTAAAGATCAAAATAAAATAATTATCAGGCATTTGAAAGGGAAATTAATGGTAAGCTTAAATTGGCATACTGTTCTGTTATCGGGACCATGTCCAGAAATACATGTATGCATTCATGTATGGATGGATGGATGGATGTGTTCATGTATACATGCATACATGTACATACACTTGTACCTCTGTGTACACACACAAATATATTCACATACACAGGGTTCGTACACATTTCCTTACATGAAAATTAAGGACTTTTAAGGACCATCAAAGAAAAAATTAAGGGCCTATCAGCAAACAAAAAAACGAATAGAATAAAGCAATTATCCATACAACCGACTTCATGCTTGTAATTTCACTTTAAGAAACTAACAGAAGTGTGTATTATTAAATTCAATTTAATACTTACCATAAAACAATTTTTAAAATTAAACTAACTCCCTACAAGTTATTAAGTAGATAACATTAAATTAGGAACATAATTTCTTGAAAACAGGTACAAGTGTATTTTACACTAATAACAGTCACTATTTAGAGATTTAATTATATTATTTAACTTATTTGATATTTATTTAAACACAGTCAACTACTATTATAATCACAATGTAAGATATTTTGCAGATTAAAATAACTGATTTGTAAACATACAATTTATTTCCTTGGTTTTTTGAAATATACTAGAATAATAAACTGTACAATAAAAGATACAAAACATTTGTGCTTTTTTTTAAATCTGAAATCTTTTCAGCTATTTTAACATCTAATTTATTTATGTCTATTTCCTTTCTTTAACTATTCTTCTAAGTTCATTTGCTTTGATAAACAATCAATGTTCCTGCTGGTCTCAGCTTCATCTGCTAAAGCATTACTTCTTCATAAAATCTTAATGTCCCTTTGAAGAAATTTTTTCTTCTGCTTCACATAATCAATTTCTTCCTCAATAATATTTCTTTTCCTCTTTGAATTTTCAGATTTAGTTAAAAGATTTTTGTTCTTCTAAATACTGCATATATTTAGACCTTGCAGAAGCTGCTGCTGATCTCATTTCTTTATTAACTTCGATATTAAGAACACCTCCAGAAAATTTTATGTAATCAAATACTGTGAGTTGAAAAATGTATGATGAGTCACTTAAATTTTCAATTTCAATTGCTTTATTTACAGAGAAGACTCTTTCCACAGAGGCCTATCCATGTGACAAGATAATCATTTTCACTATTTTCCATACTTTTGAATAGTGAAAATCATGAAAATAAGAAGTGAGAAATGTGTCAAGAGAAAGATTTTGAGGATCAAAAGTAGAAAATTCATGTAAATTTGTCTTAACTGCTTTGTCTAGAAACTCTCCAAACTGCAGCAGAATTTCATCACAATCATCTTGTAAAACACGTTTATTCCGCATTTTTCATTTTGTTCTGGGCTTTTTCTGGACTTTTAACCATCAATAGCGGGTCTATACAAGATGCATTTCGAATAAGAGAATAATTTATTGGACATTTAGACATTAAGTGTTGTACCATTGTTAAGACACATTGTTGACCTTCTTGTTTCAATGCAAAACTTTCAGCTTGTGAAATGTCCTTCTTGCGGCATTTATCATTCATTAACTGCTCAGCAATGAATCCCAAATAAATACTTTTATCATTATAACAATTTGGATCATTAAAATTAAATTTTATAAAGATTTTTTGCTTTAGTTATTTTTGAATATTCTAGTTTCAAAATTTTAAAAGTGCTGAAGGCAATCATTTACAGTCTTAAGATATCTTCAGCAAAAAAAGGGAATAAGTGGTTTATCACTTTGATAATATTCAAGGAAAGGCAATAATATTTTCGACAGAGAGAAAAAAAAATTAAATTTATAAGAAATGTTTATCTTTAGTTGTCTCCAAAACATTTTAGAAGGATTTCGATGAATTTTTTTTTTAAACTTCCCATTTCAACTTTTTTAATGTACAGTAGCAAGTCATCCATATTTCAAGGCTCTTTCAACTGCTGGGACATTTTGCAAACATCGGTTAAAAGCAGAACTTCACAGGTAGCTTTTTTAAGCAAATATACTTAAAAAATCTTCACGTCTTGCAGGAGAATCTTTAAAAATCCAATTAAGGATGATAAGAATGATGGAATGTCCCAACCAGTGGATGACATCCCATGCTTGAAAGCATTGTAAGAATGTGTAAACCGCATGCCCCTAATGTCAAGCATTGAATGTTATATTCCTTTGTCAAGTCTGTTGCAATAAATCATAAAATTTCCAGTTTACTGCAGGACCATCCATCGATATTTGTAAGAGTTATGACAAGTCTAGTTTTTTAAACTATTCATAAATTTGGATAAAATAATTCACTTGTTGCATGCCCTATAAATGCAGAAGAAGTAAGGTATTGAGTTCTGACCTTATTTTCGTGAGGCCAGTACCTCACATGAATATCTAGTTGCTTTCTTTGATTTGTCAGATTAGAGTCTCATCAAATAGTAATGTAAAAATGCAGCATTTTTACAATGCTTAGTAACAAAGTTTTAAAATTAAGGGCCAGACCAAAATAACAGATATAAGCACATTTCTTTTCACCACATGAAAAATGTTTGCAATGGAACTATCCGGGAACATTTTAGTCATAACGGCCCAATATCATCGCACGATTTAAAAGAATAGTGGCTTTTGATGCACTTAAAAGCCTACAATATTTCTGCATCTGTAACTTCAGATTTGAAAAGAAAAGAATTGATTTTATTATTTTCTACACTTATTGATGTTGAATTAGCCAGTTACATCTTCCTGAAGTAGACGGTTCTAACTTGACAAAATTCATGATACTGTTAGAAGAAAACTCTGCAGTTGAGAAGGGAGAGATGTTTTTGCACCTAAAAGGGGCATTACATGCAAGGCATTAGTAAAAATTAAGTATCGCATATATATGTATATAAAGTATGTGTATATATATATATATATATAAGAAGAAAGGTTTATACTGAAAATATACATTTTTTTACTATATATACATATATACAGTACAAATTCCGAGATCAGGACATCCAATATCTGGAATGACCTAAAATCCAGACCTCAAAGCCACCACCAAACCAATTTTTTAGGGCTTTTTTGGAGGGAAGGGGTATGCTTTAGGCATGCGCATTAGATTTTTTTCCCTCATCATAAAAAAACATGTCAGAAAGCCCGATTCTTAATCTCAGTTTGGCGCTAAATAAAATATCTCATTATTGAAGAAATAATTATTTTAGCATAAATTTGGTGTGTGATTAGTAACTTGAATCCATAGCTGCGTATCTGCTTGGCATAATCTCAAACCGAAACATTTGTTAATTTTACACCAACTAATATTTTATATCCTTGATGCCGAAATCGCGAATCATTATTTATTGTATTTTGCTTTCATCACCGCATGTTTATCAACGGATTACAACTTGAGTGATGAATCATACAGCGACGCCAAATAAGAGAGTATTATCCGATTACAGATTTAAGTTCAATGCGCTAAAATGTTGACAAGGGGAGATTGAACAGAAATTTCTTTCCTTATGCTAAAAACAGATTTTGTTAATGATACTCATAGGACAAACGATTATATTTAGTGCTAATTGAATTAAGAATAACCGATTTATTATTCACATAAAGCCAGAACCAGCGCCAGAGCTCGCATGGCCTCACCAGGCGGCAGAATTTAGGGAAGTTAAACAGAAGTTTTTCATTGCGATGACAATGCCAAAATCATCAATCAATTAACGGAGGGCAAAATCTGTAGTATGGTTCTAAATCCAGAAAATACGGCTACCGATAGTGAAGTAAGTAACAGAGAGGTTACTGAACGAGAAAAAATTTTGATTGACAAGTTATTCGGAATTCTCGACACAGCAATTACAGGACTTGAACAATGGAACTTAATAACTGAACAAGAAATTATATGTCTATAGTATTAGTCTAAAGTATTAGCAGAGAAAACAAATCAAACACAACTCACATTGAAAGAAATGTTTAATAAAGTAAACATATAAATATTAAGCTCTTTTCTTTTGTAAATTTTGATACCCTTTAAATCATAAATGCTTCATTATTTTATAAATTCACGATTTCATATTTTCAATTTTATAATTTCTACGTGCCATCTTAGTAGATTTAAAATGATCTATATCCGGAAAAATCTCAAATCTGGGATCGCCGAAGTCCTGACCTCGGACTTTGTACTGTATAAATATATAAATATATATATAATATATATATAAATTTGTTTAAATATATATAATACAGAATGTATATTTTCAGTTTAAACTTCTACCCAATAACTTTAATAATTCATGAAAGTTAATTTTGCGTCTAGTTAATTCAGGAAAATTAGTTTCAATTAGTTGTTTTCAGCTTTAAAAATATTAAAAAATTTTTAATTAGTTGTTTTCAACTAATAATTGTATCGCCATTAGCAAACATAATGCATTACTATTAACAGCATATTATTAAACAAAATACTTAATTGTCTATTGAAGCTTCAAAACATATTTCCGAACTTCACTTTTTCTCGGCTAGCGTTACCGAATTTGCCCTTGGCGACCTAAAATCGAAATTGAGCCAACAGATTTCCCGCGAAATCGATAACAGACCATCTGCAGAAATAAACTCATAATCCCGATATCCCATACATATAGTATGTGCAAAAGAGAATAAACTCCGTAGAAGGTGATAAAAAATTAATTTATGGCTTAATTGAAACAAACACAGAAATTAAGCTAAGCAAAAACCGTTGTAAAAAAAAATTGAAATGATAAAACGAAACTTAATTTTCATGTAAATTTTCAGCTCTGACTCTCCCATTCTAGAAATTTCAATTTGTTTCAGACAAAGACCACATTTAGCTTTAATAAGCTTTGTCATCCATCAATATCCAAGTCTTTGTAGTCAGCTTGATGAGGCCACAGTTTATCGAAAATGCACTTTCCAGGCATCTCGTTCCTATTGGCGTCGGAAGGGTTGTGGCCTTCCAGGTTGGGACTGCTTTAATTTTGGCAAATATTTTCAGAATCCCCCCCCCTTTTTTTTCTCGAGCACCTTCATTATCACTTTCGCCTCTTAAAGAACTTCCAGTTTCATGCTTTCGTCACAATCTGCCTAAACTTATGGATAACGCCTGTTTCGAAAGATTGGGTGAATAGCCAATCAGACACCGATACTTTCGTTCAAGTAGCTAATCGGTTTTTTTTTTTTTTTTTTTTTTTTTTTTTTTTTTTATATCGTTTGCAACACAAATCTGCCAACAGATTGGTTAAGAGCTGTGTAATTTTAATTCCATATCCATCAGAAATCGCCATTCACACCGAGAATGGCAATCATTAGAAATGATAAGAAATGTCAAATGAGCAAAATTAAGGACCGTTTATTCATTTTAATTAAAGTCCTTAATTTTAATAAAATTAAGGACTTTTAAGGACCAAAAATCATTTTTGAAAAAATTAAGGACTTTTAAGGAATGTACGAACCCTGATACATACACATGTGCATACATACTAAATACACTTCTGGATCTGGTCCTGATAACAGAGGAGAAACTACATTGGCATAGACTTCATATAAATTTCAAAACAATACTTGAAAGTTTTCTTCATGCCATTAAAAATAAATTCCCTTACTTTTTTTTCTCTTCTTCAAGTCCTGGTTTAAAAATGCCATATCTTTCTTCAACAAATATTTGATGAAGAAACTTATCTTCATTAACTACATAAAAAGAAATCACATTTCATTATATGATAAAAGCATATTAAACAAAAGTTATTATCTATTACACAACTCTGTATTCATGTAATACTTTTACACTAAAAATTCATGGTAAAATATTTCAGCTTTGAACATTTCTGTCTGTTGTGCTAATTTATTCATTAGCTTCTTTTAGTACATTTGACTGCAGAATATTAAAGTAATAACTTTTCTCAAAAGGATAAACTATAAATTTTTCTTTTTCTCAAAATATATGTAAAGAAAAAGGTGTACTTGGATGTATAATTTACTGATTGATTTCTCTTCAAGATGAAGTTACACTAATAATAATAAATTTTTAATTCTATGATTAAAGCTCTAGAGCAGAGATAGTCAACCTGCTCCCTATTGCCCACTAGTTGGCGATTTAAGCTTTCAGGGTGGGTGGTGGAGGTTTTTGTCTGATAATGATCAAAGAAGATCAAAACATGTATGGATGTATAGAATATATACACACCCTTTAAAGTTTAGTTCTCTACTTGACCATTTGCTTTTGTATTGTGCTCTCCTGTTTCCATATGTTTATATGGCTGTATTTGTTTGATGAATTTTCTGTCTATTAAAAGTTATATATTATAAATTATAGTATAAATAAATGCATAAATTTAACTATATATTTTTTACTAAACCTCCACTTAAACTATGCTATATTAAGTTACTATGAACGGGTTAGTATAGAAATTTTAGTGCCTGTAAAGTGGGTGGTAGGTATGAAAAGGTTGACTGCCTTGCTCTATAAGTAGGGAATTTTACACTTTCAGCGGGAATGCCATCTACCTTTTAATTAGTTGCTAAGTACTTAGTTTTTGTTTATGAATATAAAAAATTACTATTATTCAAGTTTTGCTATTTATCTACATTTTTGTTTTCAATTTATAAAAACATATACTCATGCAAAATACAGAGAATTCCATATTATATCAAATTTCTGAAAAACTATTAAATAGATTTTAATGAAATATGGTCTGAATATACGAGTACATTTATAACATAGAAAGATATGTGTCCTTCAAAAGTCACTTTCTGTACACATGATTATTAGTAAAGTTCATAGTGCAGTGATGTTCAAACTACATTGTGATATCAAACTGAAAATGAGTCTAATATGGGCCTATATATCCCTTCTTATAGCCAGATAGGTTGTGCAGCATGATGGAATACTGAAAAGGAGACAGATGAGAAGCCCCTGTAGCAAGTGATCCCACTCCTGCAGCAAGGTAATTTTCAACTCTGGGATGTTTTTCAAGAGGATTACACCAAGATGAAATTGCCCTTCTAAAAGTGTATCAGATATGCTCTATAGGGTTAAGGACAGCAGATCAGGCTGGCCAGTCTATGCAACAAATATCCTCCCTTTCCAAGTAATTGTCGACCAGCTGAGCATCAAGTACACAAGCATTGTCGTCCATTAATAGGAACCCTGGTCAGTCTCTAAAAAGTCGAATATAAGGCTCAGGATCTCCACTCTATACCTCATAGCATTCAGGGAGCCTTTGTCAAACACATGCAAGGGTGTGCAGTAGCCCAACATAATATCTGCCCAAACCACTAACATCTACACCACCATAATGATCCTTTTCCCTGATAAGGAAGAGATGCTATTGTGTTCCAAACTCTTTCAAGATACAGGTATGCCAAGAATGAGTTTCTAGGCTGAATCTCAACTCATCTGTAAAAAGCACAGTGCTACATGATGTGTGATCCAAGGTGCATGTTGTATGCACCATGCTAAATGCATTTTCTTGCATGCTCCACTGAGCAGGACTCAGCAGCAGGTCTTCTGGCATACAGCCCTATCTCATGAAGGCTTCAGGCAACTGTATACCATGAAACTTGGATTCCAGTGGCAGCATACAGCACACGTAAGAGCTGCAGCAGTCTTGTGACACTGCAATAAAAATGTCAAATAATACCATTCATTTTTGTGAATCTTAGTCAATCTTGTCCAGGTCTTCTCAGTACAGATTCAGTGTTCTGAAACTGCTTTCACAAATTGCAGACAACCCTAAGCATTGCATTAAGTTTTGTAGTCATCTGCACTTGCGATTGGCCTGCCTCCAATCTACCAATGATTCTCAATCTCATTCCATTATCCATATGCTCTTGGCTACTTATTTTACCCGTAGCCTTATAAAATTTACCTGACTCTTGGGAAAAATATGGCGAATGCTGTGAAGAAGTACAAGCACACAAAATGCTGAAAACTCATCGTGTGCTTAAACCCCTCCAGAATCACAGCTCCGCAGACACACATGTGTATTCTTATACATTCAACTCCGAATAGTTCCATAATTCTTCGGCGGCATAATTAGTACCTTTGGTTTAATATTTTTTGTAAAAATAGACATAATTTGCAAATCCTCTTAATTTTACATGCAAATATATAAAAAAAAATCTAAATTGAAATACACGTATGTAAAATATAAAAAAACACGATGGCTTTGCTCTATACAAACAAGCAACCTTTAATTAACTTTCTGCAATTTCAGGATCCTCCCCCTAGACCAGTACTTCCGATTACGTAACCGTTTCTATAAATAGAAAACTCGCCCCATTTTGTGTCAGAGAGACCGCTTTCTTCGTTTGCTGCTAAGGTCCGTGTTGCTGCTCTTCTGCCTTTCTTTGTTAGAATACTATGATGCATTGAAATTACTTTATTTAGTAAAGAGTGATATATGCCTTTCAATTAAATAAAGATGTAGAATCAAAACAATTAACTTCTGTGTCATCATTTCTGCCAAACTTATCATGTGCCCGACTGCCAAAATATTACATGTATATAAATTTTTTGAGTTTGGAAAAGGAGGGGGGAATGGTTTTCTATCAATAGTGAAAGGGGTGCATAAAGCAAAAAAGTTTGAAAACCACTGCTTTAGAGTTATGCACATATATACACTGCGGGGAAAAAAAAAAAAAAAAAAGAGAGAGAGAGACAGGTCTATATCTCCCGTTCTACTGAGCCAATTGACGAAATTCAGATTGCCTTTTTCAGTCTCAAAAGTGCGACTTAGGATATATACAGTCAAAAGTCTTTAATCCGGACGTCCATAGTTCGGAATGATCTATAATCCGGACCTCAAAGCTACAAACTTTCTGTGCATGTGTCAACGCATAATGCGTTAACGCATGCGCATTACACCTTTACGTCTACGCATGCACCTAATACGTTTACGCATGTGCATTTAATGTATAACGGACAGTATAAGCTAATCTAAAATTATTTAATTATCTATTTCAGTTAATTTTGCAGATTGTGTTGTTCCTTAATCTTCTAATTGGATCCGGCTTGTTTTTTTTTTTTTTTTTTTTTGTGTTTTTTGCAGACTGTTAGAGCAATTTTATAAAAGTAAGCTTGAACTTTTGATTATGTCAAAAAGAATTCCGATTCTGCAGCTACCAAAGGATCTACAAAGCGAAAGCATGTTTCGATGTGCATCAAACAAAAAGTGGAATTGCTGCAAAAAAATGGATAAAAGGCACATCCTTTGATTTCTAATCATTCCGAAATATGTTTATCAATTTCATGTGCTCTCTAAGTGGATCGGCTGTTTTTTTTTTTTTTTTTTTTGCTGTTTTTTCGACTTTTGAGCATTTTAATAAAAGGTAAGCTTGACTTTTGATTATGTCCAAAAGAATTCCGATTCTTGGGCAGCTACCAAAGGATCTACAAAGCAACGCATGTTTTCGATGCTGCTCACACAAAAGGGATTGCTGCAAAAAATGGATTAAAGCAAAGAGAAGAAAAAACATCCTTGGATTCTCCTAATCATTCCGAAATATGTTTATCAATTTCTGCGCTCTGCGGGTGGGGGGGGGGGGGGCAGCACGCAATCAACTGAAATTTGCTCTGCAGCACTATCCTTATCTTCAGGTCATATGTTTTTAATTTATTCATCTTATAATTCCTTACTAACATGTAGTATTTCATCTTGATTACTCTGATATAATTAAACACAAATTCACTCATACATTATAAATCTCACGAATACACTCAGTTTTCTGGTTCAAGTTTGGGGGGGGGGGGCAGCACGCTAATGATCTGTCAGCACTAATCTCGGGCTATTTTATCAGCTTTAAGTAGTATTCATCTTGATGCTTTACCCATGCATGCGCGCATTGAAAGAAATGTTTAATAAAGTAAACAAATAGATATATTTTTTTTTTTTTTGTAAATTTTTATACCCTTTAGATCATAATTGCTCTTTATTTCATAAATTACGGGTTCATATTTTTAATTTTATAATTTCTGCATGCCATCTTACCAGATTTAAACTGATGATCTATAATACGGAAAAACCGATAATCCGGAATCACCGTAGTCCCGACGAGTCCGGATAAAAGACTTTTGACTGTATTAGATTTATATATAGCATCATTCTAACATAGGTTTTTGACACAAAATTGGATTTTTTCTGAAATAACGTGACAATTTTTTTTTCCATATTTCGATGTTATAACTCAAGTTATACCTAAATATTAAAATTTACATGAGAAATTCAAAAATTTATCTTGGCACATTTTTTTTTAGTTATAGCAACCTATTTTTCTTTTCTTTTTTCCATTGCAGACGAGCAGAAAAATAATCATTATTCATACTTTCAAATAATTTTAACAAAGTGCGTAAACCACATTTGGCATTATAATCACTCAAAAACAAGATGCTAAATTTCAAAATGCTCTAATATGTAAATTCATGTATATCTTAGAAAAATTTTGAATAAAAAACTCTAATGCTGAGAAATAACCAGGTTATAACACAAAAATTTTTGCAAAATATTTAAAAACACAAATTTTAAAAATAAATCATAAAAAATGTGTGAATTATATTTGGATTAAGTCTAAATTTCAAATTCTGGAAGAAGGAATCAAGTAAGTTTAATTAAAAAAAAAAAAAACAGACATTAAGGAAGGGATCCTCTGAATGGATCCTAAATTCCCTTCAGTATGTGAAAAACACAAAATTTACCACTTCATTTAAGTAAAAATCTAATTCAGTTATCATCTGAAGGAAAACTGAAATTTGTTTTAAAATAATTTTAACTGTGCAAATTTTGGCTTTAAGTTCGGAATGAATATCCAGAACCGTCTGATGTTTTCCTTTTGTAGTTTTTTTTAAACTGAATTTATTTTTAAGTTCCTACATGCTATATGCCATATTTTTATTTTAATTTATAAATGATGATGATGATGTCGTGTCTATGACAAAGTGCAATTATATAGCTTCGAAGCTGTCTTCCCTTTTAAGTGATTTGTCCTAAATCTGGTTATGATAGTTGATATGGCTCTGTCACAGTTCAATTCCGGGATGGAGTTTCCCTTAACTTACCAATTAGTCTTCGGCTGCCAACTGCACTGGCATCAGCGAGGGTTAGGCAGTTGGATGGCTGAGGAGAATCACGGGATGCCTTTGCAAGCTCATCAGCCTTCTCACTACCAAAAATATTTACATGAGCCGGTATCCATAGTAAGATGCAGGATCTTTGGGCAGCAATGATTTTGTTTGTGAGCTCAATGATCTGATGACCGAGTTGACATTTGCCCTTCTGGATCGCTTGCAATGCTGATCTGCAGTCAGAGAAGATGATGATGCTCCTGGAACTCTGGTCTTCTTTAGAGTGATAAATCTCCAGAGCACTTTTGATGGCGACGTAATGTTAGTCAGTTTTTCAACTAAATACTACAGAACAGTGGGAATCGTGCCTCAACGATGCACCAGATGGCGTTATATAAATCTACAGTAGAAAACCTCTAGGTAAACACTTGCACTTGGTTTGAGAAGCCCGACAGAAGAGGTCTAGTGGAACGCTCGCAGAGGAACTACAAGGCGTTTACTGGTTGCGCATAGGCAATCGGACCTGGACTTATCTAAAGTGATCCCACGTAGGTGGTCAGCTGTATCATTTACCTGGCCATACTGGAACCAATGTTTTGATTCCTAAACATACTCAATTCATCTGTACATACTCATCCCGTTTATCTTTTCTTCTGTGAACCAGGAAATAAAACCTTATGCTTTGAACAGTGGGTGTAATCTGTGTTTTAATGATAAGGCATCACCCCAACAGAACTACTATAATAACTATAGAATGATTTCCAGTTTATTTTACTTGCACTGATACTAATGTTTATTATGCATGAAATAAATTAACATCTTCCTGATTTTTTAACATTATCTTATCAGTTTTTTAGCACTAGAATTAGATTATTGATTGTTTTAACTTTTGGCTCAGTATATTACCTCAACATCCCCAGTAGGATTGCACTGCTGAAAGGTTTGAATGCAATTAAAAATGCAGGCAAATAACAAGATAGATTACCATATATTTTAAACACTCAGAAAAATATTAAAGCATATCTCAACACTTACCACCTAAAAAATCGTTCTGAACTAGGGTTCGATACCTCTCATAACATGCTTTTCTATCTTCATAAAGTTCTTCTCCAGACAGTCTAGAAAAATATAATTCCATATTGTTTTTAACCCAAAAATAAATACATAAATTAATATAAAAAATTAAAAAAAAACATAAAAATAATAAAAATCTGAAAGGTTTCAGATTTTCAATTACGTCCAAAGAGACTTTTTTAACGTTTTGTGGGTTACCTTTATTTATTAAATATCATGCTCTTTGCACTTAAACCATAAAATTCAGTTCAAGAGCAATATCACAAAATAATTTTAAATTGAGCATACCTTTAGAATTTCCGATACATGGTCTTGTACGCTGGAGATAAAAAACTTTTTTTTTTACAACGTTGTTAGCTTTGAAATCTTTGAGTTCGCTAATCAAAAATTCGTTAAAGTTTTACAAAATATGAAATCGATAATAAAACAAATTCCAAATTTCAAATTTGGGCTTCCACATGCCCATATTCGCAGTGGATTACGTAATTCAAAATTCGATGGCTCTAAGTACCAGTTTTATCACAATGCGAGAAATAATACATACATTTATGCAGATTTTTCATTATTTAATTTCTTCAAATATAATGCAAGACTCTAACATTTGGTGGCAACAGTTTGAAAAGTGAAACCGACATTTATAGTGAACCAACGCAAAATTGCAAAACAGAAACAATATTCCTTCATGGACAGAGCCTCTTTAAACTAAAAATACCTAAAAACAATTTTTTTTTTTTTAAAAAAAAGAAGACATATTTGCAAAGTTGTAGTCACTTTAAAAAAATCCAGCAAAAAGCAAATCAAAAATGTAATGTTATAATTTGTTATAATTTAAGATAATACAATAAAAAAGTACTTAATGAATTCCATTTTTTTTTTTAATTATTTTTTATTAATTTTCTTGAAAATAACTTACGAACATGCTACATTGAGGGTTTACTGTATATACAATCAGCAGCTTTTGATTACTAGGTCTCAGTATTTTTTCCCTTAATATAATCATAAATTAAATAATTAAAAAAATTTTATGTCAAGCACATTAAAAACAGGTGGATTAAAATCTACTTGTGTTGTTATCTCCCAATCAGTGGCTAAATGTGTATGACATTTAACCACATTCCAGGTATAAAGATATACTAGAAAAAGTTAAAGAATATTCTCTAGATATTATCATAAGCATATACACTCACTCCCAAAAGTTAAGCACGAAAATGTAAAATGCAAAAAAAAATCAACAAATACTGCTTTGATTGACACAAAATTCAGCAGGAAAGTAGCATATATATTTATGCATAAAACAAAATCAATAATTATATACAGAAATGAAAACATTAAATTTTTGTAAGTTATCAGATAATGACATACTGGAAATTTAAACAGAATTATGTATAAAGTGAAAATAAACAGCATAAAATGAAAAAAAAGGACATTAATAGGGTATAATCTCCCCCCCCCCATTCGTATATGAAGTTTTTACCTTGCGACCATGCTTTCAATTAGGTGGTCAACCACTGCAGAATTAAGCAATTGCCATTCTTCTTGGAGAGCAGTTTCCAGCTCAATAAGAGTGGCCTGGGGTGGGAAACGGAAGATACAGAACGGCCGAGAGCATCCTAAAGATTTTCAATGGGATTAAGATCGAGCGAATATGCTGGCCACGCCATATGCGCAATCCCTTCACTCTCCAGGTAGTCATCAACAATGTCAGCTATATGGGGACGTGCGGTATCGTCCATTAAAACAAAAGTAGGGCCAACTGCTGCAGCGTACAATCTCACAATGGGTTCTAGGACTTCATCTCAATACCAGACAGCCGTCAAAGAACCCTGTTTAAAAATGTGCAGGTCGGTGCGGTATCCTAATGAAATCTCTGCCCACACCATAATGCTTCCGCCTCAGAATGTGTGATGTTCGGTGATATTTTGGGACTGATTCGTTGTTCACGCCATATCCTTATACACTTGTCATCTGGCTCCAGAGCAAATCTTGACTCATCAGTAAACATGACATTGCCCCAGTCAGACAAATTCCAATTGACATGCTCCCAGCACCACTGAAATCGCACCTCTCTTGATTGGATGGATAGAGGAACACAAACTCGATGTACCTGGTACTCGATGTATTTTTTTGCATATTTCTTGACATGAAAGTGCGATTCACCGTTACCTAACATATTTGCATACTTCCATCTACCTCTGCAACGAATTGCATCCTCTTCAATTCTGACTGGCTTCCGGAAATTAGCATTTTCCTCTCTGTGCTTAACTTTTGGAAGTGAGTGTATCAGAAATGCATGCCAAATTATTTACCTTTAATAATTAGCAAAGTCAAACTCAATTTGAGCTAATTACAATAAAAAATGTTTGAGGCAACTGAATATGCTTGCTTTTTCTGCAAAAGTAAAAATTTGATTTTCAGGCAACTACAGAAAGTTCTGTTTCATTACATATATACTGCTTATACTGATTTAGATTCTGACAATATTAAAAATTAATATAAAAATATCTAAAATGTATGTTACAGTTATGAATATTTATAGTTTAAATACAAATATATGACTTGTAATTATTTTTGAAGAACACGTTTCCTAATGACAAACAGACTTAGCCTACTTTTGGGGTTCAGATTCAGGTACATATTCAGGAATAATATCTAAATGAGCTCGAACATCAAATCTATCAATCAGATTGTCTTGATGTCCTTGCCATGGCATCCTAGAAGAGTAAAAAATACTCAATAAATTTTTTAATCACATATTTCCAATGAAAACAATGCAAGTTCCAGAACTGCAAATTAAATGGTTAAATATCATTCAAATTACATAAAGCTATAAAGTAAAATAAATAAATAAATAAAATAAAGTAAAAATGTATATTACAGAAGTTATCTTCAGTAACAAATTTTTATTTTATTTTATTAATACACTGCTGGCCACCGTAAATGCAACACCCTGAAGGAAGCATGCAAATAACATGAAATTTACAACATGCATTAGGAGGTAAAACATGCGAATGATTAGAATTCCAGCGCAGACGCACCTCACGCGCGTCTATGGCGCCACTTCAAAGCGCTATTTAAGGCTTGGGTTTTCGACGATTTCAAATTCAGCAATTGTGTTTTTGTTGTGGTTTTTTTCAAAAAAACGATAAATTATGCCTCGTAGTAAACAGTGATCATCGTTTGATCAAGTGTCCGAGTTCGACAGAGTCGTGTTGGACGTGATTTTTTCAAAAAAAAAAAAAAAAAAAAAAAAAAAAAAAAAACGATCAATTATGCCTCTTAGTAAACAGTGATCATTGTTTGATCAAGCATCCGAGTTCAACAGAGGAAGGATAGTGGCCTACCGAGAGTGTAGATTATCTTTCAGTGAAATTGGTAGTCGTGCTGGACCAAACAACTGCAATGCGGATATGTCACTGTTGGATGCAGAAGGGTACAACGGACCGACGTGTTCGATCGCATCCACCTCAAGGCACCACTTCACGTGATGACAGGAACATTGTGCACATGGTAGTGACGGATCGCTCAGTCACATCCCGAACCACAGCACAGCACGTTCAGTCGGTAATGCATCATCCAGTGCCTGTGCGTGCCATTCGACGCTGTTTACAGCAGAGTGGTCTGTCCGCAAGACGTCCATTGCTTCGTCTACCCTTGACACAGAACCACAGACGTCTCTGGTGCCAAAAATGCGATGAAATAAGGATGTGGACAGAAGAATGGAATGAAATTGTCTTTACTGACGAGTCATGCTTCTGTCTGCAACACCACGATAGTCGGATTCAAGTCTGGAGACACTGCGGAGTGAGGATGCTGAAGAGCTGCGTTATACACCGCCACATTGGTCCTGCACTGGGTATTATAGTATGAGGCAATATTGGATATCACTCTTACACTCCTCTAATACGCATTGCTGGTACTTTAAACAGCCAGCACTACATCTCCGAGGTCTGCTGGATGAAACCAAACAACTGCAATGCGGATATGTCACCGCTGGATGCAGAAGGGTACAACGGACCGACGTGTTCGATCGCATCCACCTCAAGGCACCACTTCACGTGATGATTATATGGCTCATTTTATATGCTTTTCCACACAATGATCCAGATTAATAATGTTAAAATTATTTTAGAAACTATTTTAGAACCAATTACACATATTTAAAATTTCGGAAATGTCTAGTATATAAAGATATGCCAATAACACTTCTCTGACTCCAGTAAGATTAATAAAGTACAAACTCCAAGATTTGGACTCATCGGGACTTGCGCGATTCCGGATTTGGGATTTTTCCGGAATATTAGATCATCAATTTAAATCTAGTAAGATGACATGTAGAAATAATACAATTAAAAATATAAAATTGCGATTCATAAAATAATGAAGCATTTATGATCTAAAGGGTGTCACAATTTACAAAAAAAAAAAAAAAAAAAAAAGGCTTGATATTTGTTTATTTTATTAAACATTTCTTTCAATGTAAAGTTGTTTAAATTGCTTCATTTTTTGTGCTAATACTTTCTCTTTAATTCCGTAGACAGACATAATTTTTTGTTCAGTTACATTGTTGCAGTCTTGTAATTGCCATGTCAAGAATTCTTACTAACTAAAATTTCCCATTTTTGGCATATTTTTTTAGTATATATACAGTAATAAATTACTTATGAATATGCATACTACATACATGTTTGATTACATGTAGATTTACATGCTTTATATTTAATGGTAATCTACTAAACAGTATCCACTGGCAGCTGCAAAAATATAAATAATGTATAATTTTTCTCCCATTCATAAAATTAGTTTCTTATAAAATGCTTTTTATTAGTATTATTATTTATGAACACAACAGTACCTATGAGGCTTAATCAACTCGTCAACTTTTCATGAGCAATGTGAATAATCAAGAAAGTACCAAATTTTTTTTTTTTTTTTTCACATACCTTGAACAAATAGCAATCAAATTATTTCAGCTTCTATAAGCTCAAGAGAACTATAAATTCTTATAACTTCTATAAACTTAAAAATATATCCTGCAAAACAAATATTACAAAAAAAAAAATTTCTAGCCAAGTAATGTTTGCTATGAACTACCAGCATGTTGAAGTTAATGCATGCACAAATAACTTAATAAATAAATGCAAGTTGAAAATTTCAAATTACAATCTAACCCTTAAAGAATTAATATCTAAAACTTAAAAACTATAAAAATTAAAAAGAAATTGCAGTCTATTTATGACATCCAGATTTCAGTATTTAACACACGAAATAATTTTAAACTAAGCAATTAGTTTATGTAAAATAAGCAGCTCAAAACAGTAAAGTCAAATGGTCAGGGAAAAATTAGCTTTATTATTACAGTAAGACCCCGCTTAACGCGAGGGATACGTTCCATCAAGGTAGAGCGTAATGCGAAACAGCACTAAACGAGGCTATCTTAACATGTAAATAATGGGGTTAGGGGAAGATGGATAAAAAATTGGTTAGGTATTAAATTTAATAATTTTTTTTAATAAAAATAAAACCAAACATTTATTTCTTACAAAAATAAAAACAATATAAACGAATATACTCATAAAAACAATTAAAATTCTCAGTCAGATCATTCAGTCTATTCTGTGTTTCCAATTTTCTGCCTCTTTGTCAAGAAGGCATTATGATAGATTGGCTTAATGGCATATTGCGTTCAATTTTGTCGAGACAGTCATTTTTCCATTTCCTCTATAATGTTATTTCTAGAACGAGTAATTCTAGTTGCAGGGCTTGACGTAGTTGCAGTTGCCGATGACAGTATTTTTTCTTTATTCTTAAGAATTGTCCTTATTGTTAAAGTTGCCAAATTCAATGCAGCACTAATTTGAGATTGACGTTCACCAGAATCTAATCTTCTAATCACTTCCATTTTAGTTTCCAGTGAAACGCTTTTTCTGGTTGCTTTCTTTTCTTGCTTTTTATTATCACCCATGATAAAAACTAAAGATCATAATATTTGTCACTGTATTAATCATTATAGTATTATATAAATTTATACTTACAATAATGTCAACATATGTTTCAAATGATAAAAATGCATCCGTATAGCACCGCACCAAACAAGAAACACAACTACACTGTTTTGGATATGTTATTTGGAAATCTAGTGCTGCACACAATTTCAGGGTATCCCCGTAGTGCTGCGAGCAATTTCGGGGAATCCCCGGGTTGAAATAAAAGAGCGCTAAACCGAAACAGCGCTAAGTGGGGTCTTACTGCATTAAAAACTGCCCTGTGAAGATTTGTGTACCTTGTTATGAATTTTGAACATAGATGGTTTTAGTGCAATTATATATGAAATTGCTGTATTTTTCTGTGCAATGTAACATGCAAAATCTAGAGAGAAAAGCTGTGCCTAAAAAGTAAGAGTAGAGGAACAAGTCTATTTACATTAAGTAAATGGGTATCTTAGTAATTTGGCGAGATATCGCCAAGCCGTCAGTGGTTTAGGCCAGTGGTGCGCAAACTTTTTTCGACTGCGGCTCCTTTTGTAGAGAGAAAATTTTTGGCGACCCCTAGAGATAAATGTTCACAAATACGATGTATATTTTGCACATTTCTTTCATTTCATCGAATAAAAACATCATCATATCTGACTCGTGTTAATTTTATTTATAATTTTAAGAAAATACTTTTTGTATAACACAAAAATCAGTAAATTGCCCTTTAATGAGATGTACGTGGCTGCAAGTTTCTAATTATCTCATCGATGTTTGGTTGTATGTTGCTAATTGCAATTCGCATATCATCTTCAGGGTTTAAACGCAAGCGGTATTTAGTTTTTATTGAAACTAGTTTGCTAAATCCAGTTTCACATAAATACGTTGATGCAAATTGTATTAACACTCTGATGGCATTCTTGCATAAAACGGGATATTGTTTTTCCACGGATGGCCAAAATTTTGGCAAGGCTGAGTCTTAAATTGATTTCGAAGAGTATAATCACTAATTTAGATCTATCAATTGCTCTTTCTCACTAATTTGAAGAGTTGAACTGCATATGTCAAAGGAAAATGGATCACGAATCCAACCAAGATCGTTTTCAGGAAAATCCTCGAATCTTCTCGAAAAATTTTCCTTTAACTTTTCAATGTGATTGGAAATGATGTTTTTAAATGTAAATATATATCTATATTATTTCCTTGATAAAATCGTTAAAGCAAGGGAACATGTCGGTGTTGTTTTTATTCAGTTCTGTTTGCCAGAGACTAACGCTTATTCTTAAAAGCTTGAATTTTACTGGCTGAAGTTATGATAGTTGAATTCTCACCCTGCAAGCTCAAATTTAAGTCGTGTTAAGTTTTTCGAAAATATCAACTAAATAGCTCAGCTTTCCCTAGCCAAACTTCATTGATATAATAACTTGCCAATCTATGTTTCTTTCGATTAAAAACATGTACACTTCATTTCTCAAATCAAATATCCGTCATAGTATTTTCCCACGTGAAAGCCATCTGACTTGGTGTGTGTAACAGTAATCTCTCATACGTTGAGCCCATCTCATTGCAAAGTATTGAAATCAGATGGCTGTTGTGGCTGTTGCATTTAATGTAGTTAATTGAACTAACAACGTCTTGTAATATGTTGTGCAACTCTTCATCTATATCTTTTGCAACAAGAGCTTTCCGATGAATCATACAGTGATTAAATACCATATGAGGCGCCACCTTCTGAATTAAGACTCTGAGCCCTTTATTCGAACCTGTTAATGCTGCAGCACCATCAGTACAAACCGCAACACAGTTTGCCCAGGTAAGGGACTTTGTTTCAAAATATTCATTTATTACTTCGAATATTTTTCTCCAGTTGTTTTTCCTTCCAAACTTTTGCAACATAAAAACGTTTCTGTTATATCTTCATTAAAAAAAAAACCTAACCTAAATAATTAGTTGTGACATTTTAGTAATATCGGTAGTTTCGTCCAGTTGTAAAGCAAATACAGATGAATTTTGTATGCGTTTTATTGACTTCTGACTTCGATATTTCGTGACATTTCGGAAATCCTGCCGAGACACGGTATCTCTTGATAATGGTATTGTTTTTAGTTGATTTCCATATTTATCGCCATGCATAATTGATGTCATCATAGTTGCTGCCAGAAGGATAAGGGATTCTCCAATTGTATGGGGTTTCATTGTTTTTCCTATTAGATACGAAACTTCTACAGAAGCTCGTAATGCTTTCTGAGGTATTGTTGTAAATTTCTTTAAATGGGCACTTTGAATTTTCAGATTTTCAGCTCGTCTTTGAAAAAAATCAGCACGTTTATTTTGAAGTTCTTTATGTTTAGTTTCCAGGTGCCTTTTTAATTTAGCTGGTTTCATGCTCTCATTTGCTAATTTTTCGTTGCAAATGACACATATCGGGCATTCTTCATCATCAACAACACAAAATGTAAAACCATACTTAATAAATTCCTCATTGTATTTTCTTATTTTTTTAGATCGGGCATTTAGTTCAGTATTTTGCGATTCCTCATCAGTATTTGTTCGTTTGTTAGTTGAAGACGTACCTGGTGTACGTATTACCCATTTATCCCTTATGAAGATAGGGGTTAAATTACTTAAACTAAAACAAATAATATATAAAATTTTATCATTTTTTATTCGAGAAATTCAATAAAATTAACAGAGGTCTTTCTCTAATGATAGTACATACCTGATAACAAAGAGTAGCAAAGCCCGATAAAAATATAAAAAATCATAATTACACAACGTCACATGATAAAACTCGAGGATAAACTAAAGCAATTGCTGGTCAACTGCTACATGCTACAACGTCATGCGAACACTTCACGTCTTCACTCTGACTATCAGATACACCGCGTACCTCGCCATCTGATTGGCTGATCACGGAAGCGAATTTTTCCCCTTTCCCTGCGGTTAACGTCTAGTCAAATAGGCGCTTTGCAGTAAAAATGGCGAATTACCGCGAAGAGGGCACTATCTACCGGAGTGAAACTTGCGTCTTCACACTTTACATACATTACACATTACGGTCAAAGAAAGAGCGGACAGCATGAAATTGAAATTAAACAGTGAGTGACGGCGCTTCACTCTTTATATATACACTGTATGGTATGCAGCATACAGGCATAATGCATTTCATAAAAATTTGGCAACCCCCAAAAAACTTCTGGTGACCCCCACAGGGGTCGCGACCCCTAGTTTGCGCACCACTGGTTTAGGCAACTAATTTTTGTTCCTAAATTTGGCAATAAAATGCCAAAAGTGGCCAAACTTGACTACATTTTGGTCCAATCTTTGTATCATCGCAATAGGTATTGTAATTGAATAAATGTAATTGATCACTGTATTAGGTGGAACCATAAATCAACTCTCATATTTCCTTCCAGTAATTTCGAGAAGCAGAAACTACTAGGAATAGCTCAGCGGATGGGTGATAACTATATTAGGACGGAGAGAGCATATGCTCTCAGTTGCTGTTGTTAGCTGTTAGCACAGCGCGAGTTCCGAATATTATCTCCAGCTTAACTTTGATCTTTAGCTGCGCTTTGTATTTCATTGTGTTTAACTTTCTTAGTGGTTTGGAGTATAACTACTGATTGTACTCTGTGATACTGTGAATGCCTTTATGATTATCCTGTGGAAAATTCTAGAACTCTGAAGTGTTTCTTTTAATAAAATAAATTTTATCAACCTATCACTGGATCTTATGAACCCATCATTCAATCTATTATGAACCCGTACACAAACAACCTGTTTACTAAAGAAAGCACTTAATCATTCAACTAGTTACTATACAGATATTTCTTTGAATTACTTTTACACAGCATTTGTGACAAATATTTCCCACAACAGTGGGAGTGGCAACATTTTATTTTCCTAAACATAAAAGCCACTTGCTGAAATCAGTACATTTTCAAACTGTTTTTTAAAAACATTATCACGCCACTTCATACAGACTTATTCCTGTATTCCATATTATTAAAATGAAAGTATCGAATACCACAGCATTTTAAATCTGACTATTTAAAATTTATTTCTATCTTCCAGATTGTTTAAATCAGCGGTTCTCAAACCTTTTGACTAACACATACCATCTAAACAAAAACTGAAAACCTTTAGCACCACCACTACAGAGTACTACTACCACCACCACTCTTGAACAAAAGTCAGATCGCATAAATTTACGAGTGTTAGAGAAAAAACTCAATCAGGATGTTGGGGTTTTAATTTTTGAATTTAAAAGTTAAAAATGCTTTGCTTCTTCGCGTACCACTTATTTTCCTCTTGCGTACCACTGGTTGAGAACCCCTGGTTTAAATGAAAGACTATCCAAGTTACCTTATTTTAAATATTTGGTTAAACAGAATTTATTTTTATTTGAAAAACTAACAGTATGTATTTGAAGTTCATAATTTACAATTACTGGGATTCTATTCCCTTGCAGAAATAAATTAGTCTCCCATATAATTAGAATGATTTTTGATTAAATAAAATGAATATCTGCAGAAACTCTTCTCTGATGAATTAATACACTTATTTGGCTTCCTTAAGATATACAGTCAAAAGTCTTTAATCCGGACTCGTCGGGACTTCGGCGATTCCGGATTATAGATCATCAGTTTAAATCTGGTAAGATGGCATGCAGAAATTATAAAATTAAAAATATGAAACCGTAATTTATGAAATAATGAGCAATTATGATCTAAAGGGTATCAAAATTTACCAAAAAAGAAGCTTAATATTTATTTGTTTACTTTATTAAACATTTCTTTCAACGCGCGGATGCGTAAAGCATACCTTACGCATAGCCGAAATTAGAAAATTGCAACCAGAAAACTATTTGATTTGTATTCGTGATATTTATAATGACGAGGAATTTGATTTAAATCATATCAAAGACGGAGTACATCGAAAATAAATACTACATTTAGTAAGGAATTATAAGCCGAATAAAATAAAAACATCTGCCCTGAAGATAACGATAGTGTTGACAGATCAACTTCCAGTTCATTGCGCGCCGCGACGTGCCCCCCCCCCCGCGCAGAGCAGCGTGAAATTGATAAACAGATTTCGGAACGGTTAGATAAACAAAGGATATGCTTTTATCCATTTTTTGTCGCAATTCGTTTTTTGTTTGATGGACATCGAAACATACTTTCGTTTTCTAGATCCTTTGGGAGCTCCAGCATCGGAAATTCTATTTGACATAATCGAAAGTTCAAGCTTACTTTTAGAAAATTGCTCTTACAGTCTGCAAAAAATAATAAGCCGGATCCAATTTGAAGATTCAGGAACAACGCAATTATCAACATTAACTGAAATAGATAATTAGATAATTTTAGCTTTTACCGTCCGTTATACATTAAACGCACACGCGAAAACGTATTCTGCACTTGCGCAGATGCATATGTGCAGTCGTAAATGTCTTGCGCGCACGAGTAAAACGCCTATGCGCATGCATCAATGCGGCGCATGCGCAGAAAGATTTTAGCTTTGAGGTCCAGATTATAGATCATTCCGGATTACGGGTGTCCGAATTAATGACTTTTGACTGTATTTCGTAGAACAGAAGGGCACACATAACCCCTTTCCCAAGATAAAATCGGTAATAAAATACATACATTGTAGCCGGACTATCAGCAGCTAATGCAACAGCTGGATCAAGATGAATTTTGGCAGGTCTTCCATGAACTTGAAGAAACTGGGCTGGATCTTGTTTCTGTAATAGTTTATACAAACATATTTTCATGCAATCATTCTTTGAGTTAAAAAAAAAAAAAAAAAAAATCAGAGAAAAAAAAAGATTCTCACTTGTTAAAAATTTAAAATCATAAAATTCAAAAAATTAAAAATAATAAACTATTCTTTTATATTTACTAAGCATTCACTGTTGTTTCATATCCCTTTTAATACCTCAATCTGTGGAAACAAATAATAGAGATTCAAAATTACACTTACAATTTTTTCATAATATTCTCGCCTCCTTTCAGCTCTTCTTTTATAATCAACCATCATCCCTCGAATCTTCTTTTCTTGTTTTCTCGCTTCGTGCCACATCTATAATACAATAATAAGTTATACGCATCTACAAATAAAACACTTAATATATTAAATGTACATTGTTTTTTTTTATCATCCATAAAGCTTCTTTCATATATAGGACTACAATATCTTGAAACCTAAAAATGAGGCCACAAGTATGGTCTTGAAACATTGAAATGCAAATATCAGTCAGACTTCCAAATTTAACATCTTAACAAACATAAATTCACACAATGCGTGAAAGTAAAATTTCAAACAATCAAAAGGAAATCCATTTACTATACATTTGAACCTCATGTTAATTAGACACTTATGGTAGAAAAATTTCTGTCCTTAACAAGAAATGACTGCTAAATAAGATTGCACTGGTCTGCTATTCCAAGGTTTCAGGAATTCAGAAACTGTGTTATTGAGGTGTCAATGAAATATCTGCTAATAAAAGCTCTATCGCACAAAATACTCGTATTTTGATTTTTGTTACCTAAATTATTATAATTTGGTTATGCTGCAGTGATTCTGAAGGCCAATCATATGTTCACACCCCTATCATGCCAAAAATGCATTGGTACACCTTGCACAAAAAAAAGGGGGAGACAGTTCTGTATCTCCCACTTTACTGGACCAATTGCCAAAATTTAACTTGCATTTTCCATGTCTCAAAGGCGGGACTTCGGATATATATTAGATTTATACATAGCATTGTTCTAACATTTTGAATTGGACTTTTTCTGAAATAACATACCAGTTTCATTTCATATGACTCAAATTATGCCAAAGTGCCAAGTTTTGTAAAAATCGCAGAGTAGCTTTTAACAAATTATGTCTCAAAATTTCATCTCCTCCATGTTAACTGAATCTGGTATATACAGACAAAAGTCGTTAATTCGGACACCCATAATCCAGAATGATCTATAATCCGGACCTCAAAGCTACAAATTTTCTGCGCATGTGTTGTGTTGACGCATAAGACCTTTACGGCGTAAGACCTTTACAGCTGCGAATATGCGTGTGCGCAAAATACGAGGGCAATTAAAAAAAAAAGGTCTTCTATTTTTGGGGGACATAAAAGAAAGTTTTAAAGTTTTAATACAGTTGTTGGCAAACTGTTGTGAGTGATGCCTTCTCCGCTACCACGTAAGCACGCAGGCGCTTCACTCGGAAACTCAGGCTTGGCTTGGCAGCCGTTCAAAATGGAACTCCCGATAAACGTTACCACCAAGTGCGAAGTGCGCGCAGTTATTTGATTTTTGAACGCAAAAGGCGTTAAACCGGTTGAAATTTACCACCTATTGACGGAAGTGTATGGACAGTCATGCATGGATGTGAAAAACATTTGCAAGTGGTGTAGAGAGTTTACAGCCAGTCATACTGAAATTCATGACGAAGAACGGAGCGGGAGGCCTTCAATTTTCGATGAGACAATCGCGAAAGTTGAGGAACTCATGCGTAAAGATCGGAGGATCACTCTGGATGCTCTCTGCATTTTGGTTCCTGAGGTTTCCAGAAGCACCATCCACAGGATTTTAACGGAAAAGTTGCAATATCGGAAGGTGTGTGCAAGATGGGTTCCGCGTATGCTGACAGAAGACCACAAACGGCAACGAGTTGATTCTTCCCGCGAAGTTGAAGGAACATTTGTCTGGATGGCGGTTCTGCTCCAATGATGAGGTGAAAGATGAGGTTCAACGCTTCCTGAAGGGCATGGCGGCAAGCTGGTATGACATGGGCATTGTAAAACTGCCACAGCGTCTACAAAAATGCATCGACTGAAATGGCGATTATGTTGAAAAATAAAGCATTCTTCAATCTTTAAAGTGATGTAGCAATTATACAAAATAAACGGTTCTTTGTATATCTAAAAATACGAGAGACCTTTTTTTTTTTGGGGATTGGCCTCGTACGTTTACGACTCCGCGTTTAATGTATAACGGATAGTATAAGCTAAGCTAAAATTATCTAATTCACTTAATGTTGTAGATTGCGTTGTTCCTTAATCTTCGAATTGGATTCAGCTTATTATTTTTTGCAGACTGTTAGAGCAATTTTATAAAAGTAAGCTTGAACTTTCGATTATGTCAAATAAAATTTCTGATATATATTTACTATTATGTAAAGGATCTACAAAGCGAAAGTATGTTTCGAAGTCCATTAAACAAAAAATGGATAAAGACATATCCTTTGTTTATCTAAACTTTAACGTTTGCTTATCTAAACTTTGGTTATCTTTAACGCCGCGGTGGCGCTCAATGAATTGGAAGTTGATCTGTCAGCACTATCCTTATCTTCAGGGCAGATGTTTTTATTTTATTTGGCTTATAATTCCTTACTAAATGTAGTATTTCATCTCGATGTACTCCGTCTTTGATATGATTTAAATCAAATTCCTCATCATTATAATTCGCTTCCGATAGCGAAGAAAGTGACAGAGGTTATTGAAAATGAAAAAATTTCGATTGACAAATTAGTCGGTATTCTCGACACAGCAATTATAGGACTTGAACAGCGGAACTTTGTAACTAAACAAGAAATTATGTCTGTTTAATAGAATTAAAGAGAAAGTATTGTCACATGAAATGAACCAACTTAAACAACTTACATTGAAAGAAATGTTTAATAAAGTAGTAAACAAATAAATATTAAGCTTTTTTTTGTAAATTTTGATACCCTTTAGATCATAATTGTTCTTTATTTTATAAATTACGGTTTCATATTTTAATTTTATTATTTCTGCATGCCATCTTACCAGATTTAAACTGATGATCTATAATCCAGAAAAATCGATAATCCGGAATCGCCGAAGTCCCGACGAGTCTGGATTAACGACTATTGACTGTATATTATTCTCTTTTTTTAATTACACTTACTTGATTCTTTCTTTCACATTTCAAAATTTAGGTTCATTCCAAATAAAATTTGCCCATTTTTTTATGATTTATTTTTAAAATTTGTATTTTTAAATAATTTTTCTAAATATTTTGGAAAAAAACTTTGAATTATAACCTATAAAATTTTTACCATCATCTTAAAGTAGATATATTTCTAAGCATGCCTCCAAGAAATTAGAGTTTTTCTATTCAAAATTTTCTAAGATATATGTGAATTTACATAGTTGCACATTAATAATGCCAAATGTGGTTTACGCACTTCGTTAAAATTATTTGAAAGTACTGAACGATAACCTTTTTTCTGCTCGTGTATAATGAAAAAAAGAAAAGCAAAATAGGTTCCTATAAATTAATATGTTCGCCGAGTGAATTATACTTGGCGCAAACTGAAAAAAAAAAAAAAAAAATGTGTCAAGATAAATATTTAAATTTCTCCATAAATTTCTCACCAAAAATACAAAATTTAATATCTACGCATAATTGAAATATGAAAAAATAGGTACCTTATTTCTTAAAAAAGTTTGACTCTGTGTCAGAATACCTATATTCAAACAATGCTATATATAAATCTAGTATATATCCTAAGTCTCGCTTTCAAAAGATGGAAAATGCAAGTTAAATTTCGACAATCGGTCGACAAGAATGGGAGATATAAAACTGTCCTTTGTTTTGTGTGTGTGCAAGGTGTACATCTTTAATGGAAAAGTACTGATAACTGTAGCTCTCCAAACTCCTAGTCCTATATTTCCCAGTACTATTATCTCCAACTGCAAAAGTTACTCATTATTTCTAAGTAACGAAGTAAGCATATAGTTTTCCTCATTCTGGAAATGAAAATACAGCACATGTGGAGTTGGATTCATATGGTGGTTATAGTTACTTACATAGTTACGATTTGGTAGAAAAATTTTTTCACAGGTTTTTTTTTTTAGAAACATTAGAATGTCTTCTTTTACAAGTGTATTTTTGTACTAATTAATGGTAACTGTTTTTCACTTTACTATTTCAGTTTGATGAGAATGTTCTAATCTTATACAACAAGAAGCCTTTGTTCTTTAAAATACAGGGTGTTTATACAGTCCCGGACCCATTTTGATGTTTAATAACTCATAAAATAATAAAGATAGATTAAAATTAATAACATAAAAGGTTAGATAGACTCAAAAAATTTCATGACCCTTCAATGAACTTCCACGTGTGCCCCCTTCGTCGCACGGAGAATATCAAGTCAATATTCAATTTCACGCCAGGTACCGGCAAGCATGTCGGCATCCACAGAGGCTATTGTGGTTGTAATTCTATCAATGCTTAACACTCTCCTCCCGTAAACATTGTCCTTTACAAATGAGTTATTAAACATCAAAATGGGTCCGGGACTTTATAAACACCCTGTATATCACATATCAGGGCAAAATATGACTATTTTCCATATCAGTTTTTTAGAATATTGCATATCATTCTTCGAATCCATATTGTTCTTATAATAGTTCGATATGTTCTTTGAATCTTCCAAATAATACTAAATCCTGCACAGAATTATATACAGTCAAAAGTCATTAATCCGGACTCGCCAGGACTTCGGCGATTCCGGATTATAGATCCTTAGTTTAAATCTGGTAAGATGGCATGCAGAAATTATAAAATTAAAAACATGAAGCCGTAATTTATGAAATAAAGAACAATTATGATCTAAAGGACATCAAAATTTACAAAAAAATAGAAGCTTAATATTTATTTGTTTACTTTATTAAACATTTATTTCAATGTAAGTTGTTTAAGTTGCTTCATTTTATGTGATAATACTTTCTCTTTAATTCTATAAACAGACATAATTTCTTGTTCAGTTAAAAAGTTCTGCTGTTCAAGTCCTATAATTGCTGTGTCGAGAATACCGACTAATTTGTCAATCGAAATATTTTCGTTTTCAATAACTTCTGTGTCACTTTCTTCACTATCGGAAACGAATTATAATGACGAGGAATTTCATTTAAATCATATCAAAGACGGAGTACATCGAGATGAAATGCTACATTTAGTAAGGAATTATAAGCCAAATAAAATAAAAACATCTACCATGAAGATAAGGATAGTGTTGACAGATCAACTTCCAATTCATTGCACACCGTGGCGTTTCCCCTCCCCCCACCGCAGAGCAGCGTAAAATTGATAAACAGATTTCGGAATAGTTAAATAAACAAAGGATATGCCTTTATCCACTTTTGAAGCAATTCTACTTTTTGTTTGATGGACATCGAAACATACTTTCGCTTTGTAGATCCTTTGGGAGCTCCAGCATCGGAAATTCTATTAGACATAATTGAAAGTTCAAGCTTACTTTTATAAAATTGCTCTAACAGTCTGCAAAAAATAATAAGCTGGATCCAATTCGAAAATTAAGGAACAACGCAAACTGCAACATTAACTGAAATAGATAATTAGATAATTTTAGCTTATACCGTCCATTATACATTAAACGCGCATGCGTAAACGTATTATGCGCATGTGCACACGCATAAGTGCAGCCGTAAAAGTCTTACGCTGCGCTATGCACATGCGTCGACGCGACGCATGCGCAGAAAGTTTGTAGCTTTGAGGTCTGGATTATAGATCATTACGGATTATGGGTGTCCAAATTAACGACTTTTGACTGTACAAATAATTTTATTACCAAAAAGCATATTTTAAAACATTAATATTCACCACGTTTACTGATCATCATAATGTCACCAAATCCCGTGTGTACCATATATTAGGATTAAACCCTAAAATGCAACCAATCGTGTTAAGTAATATGCAACATAGCTAATTTTAATTAAACTCAGAAAAGCTGTGATAAATATTTTAGTATATGGTACACATGGAATTTGGCAACATTATGATGAGCAGTTTCTCATTAAGACACAATAACACGCCGAACAAATACTAATTCAGAAGTCAAACAACAAAAATCAGCGTTAATTTACAAAATTTTCACAGGACTAGTTTCGATGGTTTTACCGAACCATCATCTTCAGCTGCAAAACCGCAAATGAGCAAGATAGGAAATAATGTTTAGATAAGAATAAGCAAGTGGCGCCATCTGTTGGCGAAACCAGAACTAAAACATAATTTCTCTAAAAGCCGAAGGCAAATTTGGATTGGAATTAGGATCGTTAACTAGAACAGAAAGATTTTTATGAATGTGAAATGCCTCTAGAAAATCCAGTTCTCCAATGGAAGATGTTTTTTGAATAATTTTGGCAGCAGAAAAATTGAAAGTGTGATTTTCGGACCAACAATGTTGAGCAACAGAAGACTTCTGTGTTTCCTTTTTTCTAACATATGCCTCATGTTCTTTGACGCGAAATTTTAAGGCTCTCTTAGTTTGGCCAATGTAAATTAAACCGCACTGGCAAGGAATCCTATAAATACCCCAGGAATTCATATCCGGAATGGGGTCCTTGAGTAGAAGTTGGAATTTTATTGATGGGAGAGTAAAAACAACCCGAAAGTTAAATTTCTGCAAAATATGTGCAACTTATAGCTAATTGATGGAAAGAAGGGAATGACAACAGAATTTTTATAATCTCCTAAAATAAGAGTGTGGCTTTTAGTGTGTTGAGATGAGAATTTTTTAACTGCTTGATTAATAATGTTGGGTGAAAAGCACACTTTTCACCCAACATTATTAATCAAGCAGTTAAAAAATTCTCATCTCAACACACTAAAAGCCACACTCTTATTTTAGGAGATTATAAAAATTCTGTTGTCATTCCCTTCTTTCCATCAATTAGCTATAAAGTTGCACATATTTTGCAGAGAAATTTAACTTTCGGGTTGTTTACTCTCCCATCAATAAAATTCCAACTTCTATACTCAAGGACCCCATTCCGGATATGAATTCCTGGGGGGTATTTATAGGATTCTTGCCAGTGCGGGTTTAATTTACATTGGCCCAAACTAAGAGAGCCTTAAAAATTTCGCGTCAAAGAACATGAGGCATATGTTAGAAAAAAAGGAAACACAGAAGTCTTCTGTTTTGCTCACATTGTTGGTCCGAAAATCACACTTTCAATTTTTCTGCTGCCAAAATTATTCAAAAAACATCTTCCATTGGAGAACTGGATTTTCTAGAGGCATTTCACATTCAATAAAAATCTTTCTGTTCTAGTAAACGACCCTAATTTCCAATCCAAATCGTTGCCTTCAGCCTTTAAGAGAAATTATGTTTTAGTTCTGGTTTCGGCAACAGATGGCGCCACTGCTTATCTTATCTAAACATATTTCCTATCTCATTCATTTGCACTTTTGCAGCTGAGGATGATGCTTTCGGTTAAAACCATCGAAACTAGTCCTGTGAAAATTTTGTAAATTAACGCTGATTTTTGTTGTTTGACTTCTGAATTAGTTTCTCATTAATAATGCTAAATAAAGTGCAATGCTCAGAGAACATACAGGCAAATAGCTTTGTAATTAAAATGATTTTGATTCGTGGAAAATAAAGTAGAAAAACTTCACAGCAATAAATGATTAATATGTTATTAAATTATGGCCCAGAATATCAGCAGAATAATGCCTCAGACCACACTTTTTCCTGGATATTGTTAAATACCAGCTGGTGATTTCCATTTCAGTCAAACTCCGGAAGTTACAAATTAGGATATTCAAAGTCACATATACTGAACACACTGCATAATATGATGAATGCTGATTCTAAAGTCAAGATGCAGAATAAGTAAAATGAGCTTTCAGTACCATATTAGGCAATGCAGACATTATATGTTATAAACAACTCAGTAAAAATTAAGAAATATTTTTACAGCTAATATTCATTTAAAAACTGCCTGTGAAAGTTTGATCTTCATATGGTTATCATATTAAATTTAAAATACCAAACAACTAACTGGTAACTGCAAAAGATAGTCTGATGATTTTCTGTTCTACATCACTTCTTAACTAGAGGTATCACAGCCAAAGCAAAAAAACAATAATGACATCTTTATCTCTATTAACTGATAGGTAAAATAACAAGCTTCTCAATCAGATTTTAAGTAACCTGAACGTATGAGCAAAGTATTTTAAATTTTGGCTCTCACTGACTAAAACAAACAATTTGGCTAATACAAACAGCAGAATTACTACGCAGTACATTGTCAGCTTATGCTGCCAATAGGCTCTCGATCACACTTTGAAACTTCACTGTTATTTAAATAATTTATAATTAAAATTTTAAATAATTCTGGTGGAGAATGATGAGAAGTAAAAATATAGAATAACAAAAATCAAAGGACAATGAATTAAGATAAAACCCTATAAGCTCAGCAAAAGCTATTCTTGTCATTTTCAGCAAATTAAATTTCATCATACCTCAAAATGCAGAAAGGACTGTAGAGAATTATAGATCGATATCTCCGTGATGCTTGTAAGTACTATCTTTTTGCATTGACAAATTGCATATTCGTTACTCACTATAAATTTACTTCCAATTTCCTATGAAATTCTCTATAACGATAGATTATCATATTTAAACTACTAAACTTTCTTATATATAATACAACTTAAAACAAATACTTTGATAAGATTCAATTCAAATATTTACATTAAATTTCTAATAAGAGCTGAAATCTAATAGTTTAGCGTCGGAATAAGAATATATAGATATTTATATTTTTTCATAAAAAAAAGGAGTTCAAAAAAAAAAGTTCAATAAAAAATATTAAATGTTATACCCTTCACAAATTTGTACTTTCTTTAATATAAAATTATTGATGATTTAACTACAGTAACTTTTCCATATTTTAATAATGTAAGGCAAAAACATTAAAGACTTTCATCTACCTTCACTTGATTTTTTTTTTTTTTTTTTTTTTTTTTTTTTTTTGTTTGCAAATATACAGGACCAGTGAATAACGCAACTTCCCATACAAAATTTAAATATAGTAATATATAGAAAAGAAGAAATAAAGTCAATAAAAAAAAAGACCTTTAAGTTTACAGTGAATTTAATCCTCCAATCAGCAATAAATTATGTAAACAGTTAATCAAATAGCAAAAGAAAATTTTCCATTCAACACATCTCTACTCCATGATCATGGCGTTTAATACAAAAAGGGAACTGAACAAGAGTAGAGAAGTACTGCCCTTCCCATTCACGGGTAAAAAAATTTATAATTCATTAGGAATCCATCTAAAAGAATTTCAACAAATAATTTAAGAAAAAAAATTATTTTGTATGAACTATCGATTTTTTTCAGACAATTTTTAATGTGCATGTATAATTGAAAATACAGTGAGGCTGTCCTTTAAAAATGTATCCTACAGTAAAGCATTAGAGAACAACGTAAACAAATGTATGTTTACGGAAATTTTAGTGTGTAGTTTTGTTACACTTTATGTGGAGGAATGTTTTGGTGTGTTGCTGTTTTTATAAGAACGTCAGATGTAATATAGTGAATTATGTGGCACTCAAATATCATTATATGAATAAACTTCTGTTCATGTCTCATTTTTAGTGTGTGTACGAAAATATTTAGAAAAAGGTTTGAGATCTCATGTTGGGAAAGAAAGGAATGTTGACATAGCCACAGTCGGAAAAAATAAAAAATCAATGCATAATTTTAAGGATTCAGGAAATGAAGTATATATTGTGCGGTATTCTGTTCCTCACCTTTTCTGTTTTAGTATATTATTGTTGCAATTTAATAGAAATTGAAAGAGAGGCTGATTTTCACATTAGAGATGTAACGTCTCAAATTGGGATTATATTTAAAAAACTGGATAAAAATGATGATGGAAAAATAGATTTAACGGAATTTTTAATATTACAAAATGAGTACAAAATCTTTCATTATGGAAGTACTGATAGCGATTATAAAGTAAGTTATGAATATATATTAGTTTACTAAATTTTTAGTACTGCATAGTACTGAGAGATTTTTATTTATTATTATTATTTTTTTTGTAAAGTTATGTATTTTGTTAAAGCGTTCTTGTGAAATTAAAAATTTAGTTTTTAAGATCAGTTTCTTTAACTTAGTTTTTAAAATCGGTTTCTTTTTTAACTTGTACAAAGTAAAGGAAGTATTGTAATTGTGAAAAATTTGGTAAAATCATATTTCAACGGAAATATCCATTTGAACGAATTTTTTGCCTGATGTCTATACGTATGGACAGAATAAAGGGCTCTTTTTCTTTTCCAAACCAAAATAGATTCCAAAAGAATTTTTTTTGTGTGTGTGTGTGTGACATCTGTATATATACTAAATATAACTCAAAGGTGATTAGTAGCTGTAGAACGTTGAAATTTTGTGTGGGATATCTTTTAACATCTACTTATGCATCTCCCTTTTTGGTTGATCTTTACATTATGGTAACTTGGCGATTTTTTGGCGAAAATTTGGCAACCAACTCTCCTACAGCAACCCTCTATTTTTTTTTTCCCTGCCGCCATTTTGTCTTCACGAAGTAAAGACATGTTTCTTTTCTTCTTATCTACTGAACACTTCTTCCAACAATCTACTAGCCGAATTACACTTATGCTAGAAATTTTATCAAACAAAACTGCTTAATCATGACAATATTCACCTGCAAAATGGGGAAAAAGTGCACAATACCGTACTCCTTACGCGTTTTTCAAAAATAACACATACACATAAACCATGTACACGCCGACTTATTTTTACTTAAAAAAACATCCCAGAATTGCACAAAAATGGCATTGCGCACACTCTTCACTATATCCATGTACACTGCTTTTTTCTCATAAATTAGAAAAATTTCACGAAAATATATGACAATTTTCTCGATCTTTAAACCCGGTAAAAAGAACATATATGAATACACTTTTCTAATTCATTCAATAAAATTATTGAAAGATTTTTTTCTGCGAATTTTTCCTCCATACTTCCTCCCCGAAATAAAAAGCAAACTTCTCTTTATCACAATGCCTAAATACCCATTTCAAATTCACGTTAATTAGGGCCATGGGATCCAAAAATTACACAACACAGAATAAAGCTAAATACAAAATTTCCACATTTTTTCCCGATTTCCCCCCTTTTCCGATTAAAGAACCGTAATTCGTCCATTAATATCACATGACATCCCATGATCTCTCATTTCCCTCACGCAAAATAATGCGTAATCGGAACTGAGTACTGCTCATACTATTACCAAAGTCCCAGGTAGTAACCTTTATCGCCTCCAAAATGTCGCCAAACTACCAGTTACCATATTGTAAAGATCAACCCCCTTTTTTATTGCAATACCAAACATATATATGTGGTTGTCATGGGAAAAATATATTTCTGAGTCCCTCTTGGTGAGAATTTGAATTTCAAAATACAGAACAGTATTATGAGAAGTTTACTTCGTGAAGACAAAATGGCGGCGAAAAAAAAAAATAGAAGGTTGCTGTAGCAGAGTTGGTCGCCAAGTTTTTGCCAAAAAATCGCCAAGTTACCATAATCCAAAGATCAACCAACAGAAACAGATGATGCATGGAGTCTGTTAAAGTTCTTTTCCATTGCTTAGACATTAAAGTTCTCATGAAGTTTTTCTCTTTCAATGCAGGGTGAAGTTCCGATGTAAGACAAGCAGCCCTGTTGTTGCCTTTCTTGGTCAGAGCTGGCCATTCCAAGAAGGCTGTTCTCGAGTTAGATAGCGACAAATTCGGCTACCAGCTACTGGATCTCTCCACAGAGGTATATGAATGCTCGGTAAAAGTATATTTACTGGTACCCCTTGGCAATTTTTGGCAGTATTTGTTATTTTGGCTTTGTATAGCGGCAATTTTAGCGCCAAAAATTGCCGCTACACAAAGACAAAATATCAAGTCAAAGATTTGCACAAACTCGGTATCCATGTACACATTGACCTATTTTCACTTAAAAAAACTCACAGAATTGCGCAAACTAGACATTGTGCACACCCTTGACTTTGTCCATGTACACATCGATATATTTTCACTTAAAAAGTCAAAGGAGCACCCAGTTCTAGGTAAAAGTATATTTACAGAACATTCAACTACTAAGGTTACCATAAATAAAACAACAACTTTGTGATACTACAAGGGGTACCCTTCAATCTACTCTAACCTGAATGCTCTTAGCCGAGCAAACTGAGATTGCTCTTGACAGAGCTGGGGGGGGGAAATGCATGAAGGTTTCTCTCTTTTCACTGCAAAAATTAGCTTTCTTTTCTGGAACTGCGTTCCTGTTTTTGTTCAAGATGTCTTGGGCGTGTTGGGATGACCTCCGGAATTTCCATTTATCCGAAAGTTTTCAGAACGTCTCTCAATTGGCAAGAGCATCCTAACTGACCACGGATGTAATGATGACCGGCCTGGGAAATTTCCATGAGAATCTTATGGTTCCGACTTGAGACTCAAAACCATGTGGTCTCTGATAATGCAGAACAAAACGCCTGTAAATGGATGTAAGGGAATGAAACAGTGTTTCTCCTTCATACAACTAAGAAGGAAACAAAGACTTTAGAATGGTATGTGACTGCAGGTCACGTCCAGCTTTTTTTTTTTTTTTTTTTTTTAGAATTTTCAAGTGGTTATTAGGAAATAACCTTTTTCCAATCTGGTTGTCAGAAATGGGTGAAGACGTTACAATTTCAGAATGGTACGTGATTGCAGGTCACGTTCAGCTTTCTTGAGAATTGCTGAGCTACCACTAGGAAATAACCTCTTTCCGAGAACTTTGGGGTAGTCATCAGAAAATAGCTTAAGACAGTACAGCTGGTAACAAAGACTTGAGAATGGTACATGATTGTAGGTCATGTTCAGCTTTCTCAAGAATTGCTAGTTATCATTAGGAAATAACATCTTTCCAAGAACTTCAGGGTTATCATTTAGAAAATAGCTGAAAACGTTACAGTATGCAGGATATGTTGTGAAGTTAGCATGCAGTCTAATCTTTAGAATAATCTTTATCAAGACTGCAATGTAAATATTTAATATAGGATATGACTTCATTTTATTTGAGTTGGTCCATTGTTTATGATGAAACAATAAAATGAATTGATTAGTCTCGATATGTTTGAAAAGGTTTCAAAATTTCGAATTCAATGCAAAAGGAAAACCATAAAAAGAATATGTTTCAAAAATTTAGTTTCATTCTGCTGATTCAAATCTAACCGATATAAAATAATTTAAAATATATATATATATTTTCCTTAGAAATTTTTTTTTAAATGCAGTATGAATGTGATCACGCTGGGCTTTAAGAATATAAAAAAAAAAAAAAAAAAAAAAATTTGAACTTCATCAGAACCAGTTTGACCAAGTGGCAAACCTGTTTATTGCTATAAATAAAAATTAGTCTCAAACCCCTATCATATTTACAAAATTTAACACATTAAAGACTCGTGGGCTTACTAATGAAGTGGGGTTTAAAAGTAAAGAAACATTTAAAAATGACTGAAAAACTAGTGCAATATTTTAATATCAGTGATATTACTATTTATATAGAAACACAAGCCATTTATAAAAAGGAAAAATTTTAATGCTTGTATTCCAAAATGTAATTTATTATATGTATCATCTTTTAATACATAAAGCAATGATTAAATATTATTGTAAGATTTATGGTATCAAGATTTGAAATAGTTTTCTTTAATGAATATAAAAATGTATTGGATGAATATGTATTTCTTCTTCTCTCTTTAATTATTTATTATTGTTATTTTATTTATTTATTTACTATTATTATCAAACAGTCAGACACCTTCTATTGCATAAAGAACTGCAAGTTTTCATCTTTGCCTCAGTGAAAAATGATGTAAGCGTTTTATTTTTGGGTTAGTGAGGCTTTGGGAATATGTGAGAACTATGATTTGCAGTGGAAAGTTGTGTTACCCATCTATATAAAAAATATATTTTTGCAACATTTGCAAGCATTACTATGGATGTTCTTGCTTATATATTGGAAGAGAAGGAATATTATTTTAGTATCTGTTAATACAGTCAAAAGTCTTTAATCCGGACTCGTCGGGACTTCGGCGATTCCGGATTATCGATTTTTCCGGATTATAGATCATCAGTTTAAATCTGGTAAGATGGCATGCAGAAATTATAAAATTAAAAAATATGAAACCGTAATTTATGAAATAAAGAGATCTAAAGGGTATCAAAATTTACAAAAAAGAAGCTTAATATTTATTTGTTTACTTTATTAAACATTTCTTTCAACGCGCGCATGCGTAAAGCATACATTACGCATAGTCGAAATTAGAAAATTGCAACCAGAAAACTATTTGATGTGTATTCGTGATATTTATAATGACGAGGAATTTGATTTAAATCATATCAAAGACGGAGTACATCGAGAAATAAATACTACATTTAGTAAGGAATTATAAGCCGAATAAAATAAAAAAACATCTGCCCTGAAGATAAACGATAGTGCTGACAGATCAACTTCCAGTTCATTGCGCGCCGCGACGTTCCCCCCCCCCCGCAGAGCAGCGTGAAATGATGATAAACAGATTCGGAATGGTTAGAGAAACAAAGGATATGCCTTTATCCATTTTTTGCAGCAATTCCACTTTTTGTTTGATGGACATCGAAAATACTTGCCTTTCGTTTCTAGATCCTTTGGCAGCTCCAGAATCGGAAATTCTTTTGACATAATCGAAAGTTCAAGCTTACTTTTATAAAATTGCTCTAACAGTCTGCAAAAATAATAAGCCGGATCCAATTCGAAGATTAAGGAACCAACGCAATTATCAAAATTAACTGAAATAGATAATTAGATAATTTTAGCTTATACCGTCCGTTATAGATTAAACGCGCACGCGAAAACGTATTCTGCACTTGCGCAGACGCATATGCGCAATCGTAAATGTCTTGCGCGCACGAGTAAAACGCCTATGCGCATGCGTCAAAGCGGCGCATGCGCAGAAAGATTTTAGCTTTGAGGTCCGGATTATAGATCATTCCGGATTACGGGTGTCCGAATTAACGACTTTTGACTGTAGTGTTCATATTGTAATGTTTGTAATGCACCAATTAAATGTTTATAGTGCACAATGGGTACTAGTATTCGGTTTTGAGGGCCGTAAAAAATCGCCAAACTATTGTTGATGCCAGTGCTGCCAAAAATAATTGCAGCAACCCTAATGCAAGAAAGGAAGTATAATAGTAGATAACTATTTATGATTGATGCTTTAATTTAGATGAAAATTTAATTTCTTATAATATTTTTATTATTATAATTTATATAAAAAAAGGCTAAACATGACTGAATAGAAGCATAAGAGTAAATAACTATTTCGGATCATTATTATAATTTTTATAAAAATTGCTAAACATAACTGAATGGATGCCTGCATCGCTATTTCACTACCGAGTTATAATTTCATCTTGTTGGTTGTTCAAAGAAAATTTTCTATAATGAATGATGCCTTTTCTTTGAAAAAATTCTCGGTTAAAGTGCAGAATTGCCCACTTATTTGTTTGCCTCTTTTTACAAGGGTAAAAACAATTGGATTTTTTGTTAATTTTCTTTTACTTTTTAAGTGAAAATAAGTCAATGTGTGCATAGATAAAGTCAAGGGTGTGCGCAGTGCCATTTTTGTGCATTCTGGGATTTTTTTAAGTGAAAATGGGTCGATGTGTACATGGATACTGAGTATGTGCTATTCTTAAAAATGCATCAAGCAGTGGGTGATTCTGCACTTTACCCAAAATTCTATTGCACACTTTTCGTCATGGGCAATTCCCAAATTGTTAAATCCATAGGATATGAAAAAAGAATTTAAAATTAAAAAAAAAAAAAGGATTAAAAGTTAAACTAGTATTTCAATGGCGTCTTAAGAAATATAGAACTATATAAATTTACGCAAACTGAAATCAGCGCATACGCCTGATTTGGCGTGCTGTTAAATTAATGGGCGCTTTGCTAGATTTGGCGCTTTTGCGCATACATTTTTGCTGAAATTTTTTTACGGCCCTCAAAACGGACTAGTACCGCACAGGGTAGTGTTAAGTATCTCTCAGTCATTAATTATTATAAAAATATTTTGGATTATATTGGCTAGTTTTTGTCCCATAAAATATAATCAAATTCCATTTATTGATTTTTGAAAATTAGAGTTAGATGTAAAGTTCTGTTGCATTCATGTAAAAGACTAAATAGTGTGTGTAATGTATTATTCCATTGACAATGTAAGTTAGCCACCTATGAACATGAAAGTTCGCAGAGATCCCACCAAAGGTGAGCCAATCATTCCTGTGGAATTTTTAAGGAACTGTCTCCTGCTCTGCTCCATTTTCTGTAAAAAGGCTTTCATTGATTTTTACTACCAGAAGCTCTGTTTAAAATGCTATGAATAAAACTTCTTAAAACTTCTTGCATGTAGTTGATCCACTCTATTACTGAAGTAGTATATAAACTATGGGTTGTGACCCCACTGGAGTCTGAAGGTGGATAAAAATCCTAAAAATTCTGAATTGATGGTCTGATTGGGGTCGTGAAATTGGCTTTTTTGGGGGGTTGCATTTTTATAGTGTTGCACTACAAAATTTAAATACCACTGTATTGCTGTATTGTTGGTTATATTTAGCTGAGAATATCATGTCCATTAATAAACATTTTGCTTTGATTTTAGGATCCCGTAACTTTGAACTCACTGCTTGACAGTAATAACAATTTATATCCGTGTTCATAAAAGCAAAACATGCTTTATCGAGAATCAGTCATGGTTGCATCAAAAATGCACATGCTATGAGTATATTGTTACGTCATACCTACCCACAAGTGGTGCTGAATCACGCAGCTTGGCAACAGTTTCATAGTCGAGGGATAATAACTTGGTATTTCAATTTCAGTGGAAAGTATAATTTTCCTGACTAGAACTCCAATGAAATCACTCAGGGTAAAGTTTTCCTTAGACTACTCTGACTTTAGACTTCCTTAGGCTGACTACCTCTAAAAGTTATCATTATTTTTTAGAGCATTAAATCTAAAGTTTCAGTATCACGTGTCCAAGATGGTCACATCTACGAAAAAATAAAATCAACTGGAGCTGTGGGTGGCCATCTTAGGAAATATTCATTAGATATGCTATCACTCTTGCAACGTATCCAATTAGTTGAACCTAATCTTTGAAAGTATGTCTCTTCTGATCAGAAGTGGATGAGACTGATTGGATTGACATGGCCAACCTGCATGAAATTTTTTTAAGTTGGCCACAGTTTTCTGCATAAAAAGTGACAGGTGCCCTTATGAAGTTCAGTTAATAACATAAAAAATGCAGTCTTCATCAAAATGTTGGGATGCCCATGTGAAGATGTAAGTGAAAGTTGCTGAGTTGCATGAAGATATCAATATTGTTATAAAATTGTCGAAGTGTTAAGTGTGTTGAAATGCTTGGTAGTGTTAAACACAGTTACTTATAGTCAGCCCATTTCATTAATAAGGGAGCTCTTAATGCCAGTTAAATAATGGGAGGAGTAATAAAAAGGGAGAACCAAAAAAAGAGGGCTATAGAATTATCATTATTGCCAAATAACTTGTTTATGGAGAATTTAGAAGAACAATTTGTGTTCAGAAAAGTAAAATGGAGGAATGAATTTCAGAAATATTTAACTTAATGGGTGCAATTCACGTTCATAAAAGAAGAAGAAAAATTATTTATATGTGCGAGTAAAAAAGAGAAGTTTTGTTGTTCCTTTTGCATAGTTAAATGCTTTATGTAAACTGTTGTTTCTTAAACTGATAGATCTTAAGACACAATTTTTTATAGTCAAAATTTACTACTTCCTCTTCTGTCACAGGAAATATAAATGATGTTTCTGCATGAACTCAATGTTAAACTTTATTAGAGTATATAAAAGCATCCTTTATTAAAAGGAATATTTACTAAATGCTGAACTAAAATATTGATATTATATAAAATTTATTCATATATCATTAAGCTTCTTTTATTAATTATAGGTACAAGAATTTCCTTATCTTCCCATTGAGCTTGGAGAGCAAGTTATAAATATTGAAGTTACTTTTAAACCAATTAGTTTAAAGTCATTAAAGAAAGATGTAATTGATATACCTAAGGTAATATGCCTAATTTGTATAATAATGATGAAATATCAAGATTTTGATTGCATTTTATTGTTATAATTTCAATTGTGTGAACAATGTATGCAATTCAGAAGACTGAGGCTGTTTTGTAAGAAAGTGAAACTATCTTACTCATTAGTTCTGTATCTGTGTATAAATTTTAAAACTTGAGTTAATATCTGATTATTAATTGTAATGAAATTTTGTTTCATGTACAATACTAGATTGAATGATTTAAAGATAAATAATTCATTGTTTTATCACATGATATAAAAATAATACATTTTTATTAATTTAATTAACATTTCATATTATTATCTGATAGGTATGTTACTAGCAAAGTATGAAATCCAGCATTCTATAAAGTACCTTGGCTGTGTATAGAATGCTAAAAACTGGCCAGCAATGTATGAAATGATTAAACATTTCACACATCGCCTAGGCATTCTGTAGAATGTCAAATGACAAAATGGTAAAGTATGAAATACATCTCGCTATTATACACAATGCTTAGGCAAAATATGTAATAATTTGTGCAATATGTTGGTAGTTACAACAAGTGTGACAGAGTTTCTACTGACTTGGAACTTGTGAAAGAATTTTAAAACAGCTGTATGTGAGATCACAATTCATTTTATATTCTAAGAACTTGCTCAGAATTGAAGATATCCCTGACCACAAAATTCCTCTTTCCTCACTGCAGTTGCTGAGTTGAAAGGGGCCAAGGATTCGTAAATGCATGTCTAAAACAAAGTGCTGAAATATGAAACATCTTTGAAAAAGTAATGAAGTGGATTCAATTTGTCATTCAAGCCTACCATGTTGCATCAAATGGGTTAAATTTAATCTTGTATTTTTTATATGAAAATTTACTTTCATAAGGAAGGCATAAATTTTGTTTTGTACAAATTTTATTTTTCCTTATTTATTTTGAAAAATATTTTTAATGGTCTTTTTTCACTATTTTTTTTCAAAATAACATTTGTGTTTTTGAGGAATGAATGTCTTTTAAATAATAGCCTTATTGTGACCTTTTTAATACTTTGCCTAAACAGCATTTGTCATTCCTAGGTATTATATAGAATGATTATTTGGTATTTTATACAATTATATATAATCTTTTATATGAAAATTTTGCTTTCTTTAATATAAGAAAGGCATAAATTTTGTTTTCTTCAATTTTCATTTTTTCTTTACATATTATGAATAAAAAAAAGTTTAATTGCAGACTCATTATTTTTTCAAAATAATATTTGCATTTTTGAAAAATGAATGTCTTTTGAATAATAATCTTATTATGACTATGTTTTTTTCATAATTTTCCTAAAGAGTATTTGTCATTCTATAGAATGCATAGGTAAAATATGTAATAATTCTCATATTTCGTGCTCTGCCTAAAAATGCCAGGCATTCTATAGAATGCCGACATTTCATGCTTTGGTAACTGGTACATTTTCATTTGAATATAACAATTTTTAATAATTGTGTAGTATTGGGTATATTTAATGTGTTATTTTTTGTTACTTTTGTCAAAGTTCCGAATGTTTCATTTCATGTGTTTCTTGTAAAAATTTATTGTAGATTTCTTATTTTTAGAATGAATTAGGCTCTTTACAAGGTTTGTTGAATTGGACAAAGCCTTTCAAGTCACAACATTCATTTGGTGCTAAGAGTTTTTCATTGTTCCTGCCAAAGGATTATTATATAAAACCTGGAATACCTTGGTGGATAATTGAACCAAATGTTAACAAATATTCCAAGCCATTGTCGAGTAAGAGATACTTTCCACCTGCTGTTGATGAAAAATTTCATATATTATTTGCATTACTTAGTCTTTTCCATCCACAACCTTTCCTTTGGACGAGGTTTGCTCCTCAAGGAACTGTTGCTGTAGTACGAGCAGTTGAAAAAGATTTTTATGATATTTTATTCAGGTATTTTAACTTTGTTTTGAGCACATATATATTTTTTCTTTTCAGTAAGTTGGAAAACATTTAAGTTACAAAATTAATATTTTGTAATTACTGTGCCATTTTGAGTTCCTTTTTTATATGTTAATATATCTTAAATATGCACCATATACTGGGGAGGGGTGAATAAATATTTTCATTTTTGAATTTGTAGCAACCACTGTACCATTAAATGCTGTCTTGTTGTTTTGGAGTGTATTATAAGCAAGTTAGGAATTGCAGATAGTAAGGCAGCATATCATGATGCCAGAGACTTTAAGAAGAGTTTAATTATAGATGCTAATTTGTTCATTACATTGTAGATGTTGGAATTCATTTCCTACATCAGTACAAAATTCTTATTTTTGTATGCAAACATTCTGAGATTGCAGTTCACAACATTAAGAAAAACATCCAGTATGTAATAACAGCTGCTATTGAAACATTATGTGTGATGATGCCATCTAATGCACAGGGTTAACATGAATAATCAAGAATTTCTAAAACAGGAATAAGTATTATAACATAATTACATATTTAAAAATGTATAATAGGAAGGGTTTGAAACTTCATTCTACTCTTAAATAATATAGGTAAATATATAATAAAATATAATAAGAAGGTATATTAAATAGTATAGGTATAAAAAGAAGAGTTTAAAACTTGATAGAATAATGTATTTGTACTTTTTTAAGTCCTTCTTTATCAGTCTAAATTTATATGTTGTTATTTTAATTTCATCCTTTTCTTATGTAGAATACATGCTGAATTTCAACTCAATAAACCACCTATTCATCCATTTTGGTTTACACCTTCTCAGTTTCATGGTCGTATAATCATCAATAAAGATGGTACTGTTGTAAAATTTTTCCATATAGAAGTACCTGATACCAGAGTAAATGTTGGTAAGTAGTTCATGTTCAGCTTTTTTCTGTTTCTCCATACTGGTATATCTTATATATTTTTCTGGAATGATTAAAAAAAGGAGAGAGAAAATAAAAGAAAAAAATATGGTTTATTTTATTTACTTTAAAACTGTGAATAATTTCAAAATGAGACTAGCATGGTTTTTTTTTTTTTTTTTTTTTTTTTTTTTTAAGACAAAGTGAATGAAATAAACGTTTTTATCACAGTTAATGAAAACACAGTCATTAAAAATTAAGAATGTATGAAGATTATAGAATATAAATATATATAAAAAAAAGATTATAAAAATTGTCTATCTATAACTTTAAATGTTAATTTTTTGGAAATAATTCTTTGATAGTTGCTGAATGTTAGCTTTGTTTCATAATTAGGAACTACTCTTATATATGCCCTCAGTTGACGACAAATTTCTCTTCAAACATTTTTGGCGAGACATTTCACGGTGCCATATTACTATCTAAATTTTTTATCTGTACTTCGAACTTTAAACCAAAAATGTCTGCAAAAACCATGATTTTAAGACATAATTTACACTAAAAATTCAAAACAAAAACAAAAAATTTAGATAGTAAATAGGAAAAACTTAAATTTTCTAACCAAAAAATATTTGACAAGAATCCACGTATACAGCGATCTGTTTTAACTTTAAAAAAATCACAGAATTGCACAATCTATGCCGCAAAGGAATCTAATAATTACACATACCTTGCTAAAATAAACTAACATAACAACAATAAATTTCAAACAATACCATGCGTACAGCGTTCTGTTTTAACTTAAAAAAACATCACTGAATTGCACAGCCTCGGCATTGCGCACAAATCAACAAAATAAACTAAAATAACTAAAATAATTTACAAACAATTCAAAAAACAACAATAACGACAGAAATTCATAGCATAAAAACAATGAACGTAACATTCTACAAACTAAGAACAGCAATAAAATAAAATGCACTTACCATTGTGAATCTTCTTCAAACAGCAGCAATATCAATTTCAAACACCAGCAAAACAACAACCAATCCACAATCATTTGCCTGCAAACTCAGACGAGTCCATCAGAAATGCCATTCTTCGTACGAGTTCTCGTATCAGCTCTGCATTTTGGACACGTCAAACTCAGCTTCAGAAATCATGACTCCCACAGAAATTCCAAAAATACACTTTGATCCACATAAACACACACTCGTGAACAAAAGACTCATTAACAACTCCAACATCATACCTTATAATACTAAATTTAATTTGTGCACAATGCAAAATAAGCGACTGAAACTTTACCACCACGTCTTTCATTGCAACATAAGCCATTTCCAAACGCCCTCCAAACCACCACAGCCAAATCAATTTTCAGCATCTAAAAGATTGCCTTACAAAACACATCGCGCCAAAAACCAGAGCAGAACACACAATCACCACATTTGGCAACCTGAGGGCATATATAAGAGTAGTACCCAAAATTATTCACTACGTAATATTTATATATTCTGAAGAAGCACAGTAGAAATATTTTGTATTACATATTACATTTTATAAATTCCAAACATTATAGTATTGAGGGAAACATTTAGCAAAACCTGCTAAAAACATAAGCAACAAAGTCAGAACAGGGAATAATACAAAAACTTTGATGGATTTATGTGAAATTAATCCAAGAAGTTGGTGTGGTATTACTAGACCACATAGCAAACAATAAAGCAAAGAATACATGTAGTATGACCTTCACATAGGTTAGGAAGTTTGTGTGCACAAGACCAAGTGCGTCAGGAGAACGTGCAATGGAAACATCCCGCTAATAATGGATATGATAGCCCCTAGCTGAATACATGCTTGACAATGGCAAATACTTGACTGGTACACATTGCAGCAATAAAAAGTCAAACTAGAGGGTCTAGAATTTTGTCACGATATCAGATGCTGTGACGGAACCACCAGAAATCATGTAGAAGTCGGTGCGACTTTTCATTGCTATCCCAGTCCATACAATTAAGCCTCCTCCTCTGTAATGGTATCTTTCAACAATGTTGGTGTCCCCGGCTTTTGCCTTATCATTGCCATTCGAAGATTGTTCTGGGTGCTTAAATCGAGATTCATCCATAAAAAGTACATGGCCTCACTGCTTTGGTGTTCAACTGTGATGTTCATGGGCCCATTCCAACCATGCTCTGACATGCGATGAGGACAAAGGAACAAACCACAGGTCATCCAGCATACAGTCCACCTTCATGCAGTTGACATGACACAGTTTGATGGGATATGGGACATCCTGCAGCAGCAGAGAGATGTGACATGAGCTGTTGTGCTGTTAGTGATCTAAGGTGTCGCACACATAGTAACAGGAAGTTATCTTGTGAAACTGCAGTAATCCTACGGTGTTCAGACCCATGTCTTCTACAGGGGTTTTAATCCCTTTGGTAATGATTCCACAGCATACTGATGACACTACAATGCAAGCTCAGCTCTCTCATAGTAGCAGATTGTTTTGCACCAGCTTGCAGCATCCCGTCAGTCCTCCAATGCATTTCATTGTGCAAATGGTGTCTTTGTCCTATAATGCATTTTATCGTGCAAATGGTGTCTTTGGCTCATGTTTACCGCTTTGGCTATCTCGGAGATTAAACAGAATTGTCTCTGCTTGCGAACTGACACTGGCATGCCTCTTTTTAAGGCATTGTGGTGCGACTGCAGGATTGTGTTTTATGCTAATTTTATTTACTTATTTGCATTTGCTGATGGAATCTCTACCTTATGTCTAAATTGTGTGTTTTAATTCCCCGTTTTACATTTGTACCTATTCTTTTAGTTTTCGTAGCTTTTTTGGAGTTTTAATTAATAATTTTAAGAAATTTAAGTTGGCTTCATAAAAAGAAATTAAAAAATTTGTTCTTAACCTCAAATTAGAGATATTAACAGTAGAGTAACCTAATATTCAGATAATTTTTTATGTAATTTTATTGTCAGTTTCTATGTATTTTTTGCATCACACCTTTCAAATGTGTGTTTCTCATAATTTGTCAATGTGTTTTTGAAAATCCTGTAGTAAGATCTAACTTTAAATGTTATGTAAATTTTGCCCCCCCCCTTTTTTTTTTTTTTTTCTTAAATAGTCTTACTAATATGGCATGGGAGAATCAATTAAAAAAAGATTAAAAGAATATATATCCATTTGTGTTTTAGTTAAAGCATACCTTTATAAAGTAACAAGAAAAATAGGTAAATTGTAGCAAGTACAGCATTTAAAATTATAAATGACTTTGAAATTCAACTAGGTTAGGAAATTTGTGCATACATTTTCAAAATACAGTATATTGATAAGCCACTGTTTATTTGATCAGTTAGGCAAAATTGTTTTAATCAATACTTTAAATTCCTGATTAGAAATGCTAATAAATGCATGATTGCACATTGATAACCAAAAAATCTGAATAATTTAAAAAGTGTACTGCAATTTTTTTAATATAATGACATTTTTTATTATATTAGTTTATTTTATATTTATTATTATTTTTATATATATTTATAGTAAACCTGATCCATACCACTTTATGGGTGATATAAGGGTTCATGATGGGTGTAGAGGTTTTTATCAGATGATCAAGATCAAGGTTGATTGAAACAACATTCACACAAGGTAGATGCATACATATACAACATATGAAAGTTTAGTTTTCTAATGGACTGGTCCCCTGCATGCAGCACTATCTTGTTTTCATATATATATATATACAGCTTTATCACTTTTCTAAGATGTTATTTTGTGACTGTATTGCAAATAATAGGGTTATCAAATCTAACAATGCACAAGGCTAGGAGAAATTTTTCCCAGAAATATTCAGCTTATTGAATTTAAATTGAATTTTAATCAGTTATCAATTTGAAGATATTTGAACTGGAAAGTGTATGAATGAATGAAAAACCCTTTTACTATAAATAATGCTGAGGCTGATATTATTTGCCAAGAACTATTAGCTTTCCTGTATGATAAAGAGAGTAAATATAATTTTGATATTTGTGGACATGAAAAATCTTTGGCTGAATAAAAAATATAAAACTGCATTATAGCCAAATATGTAAAAAATTATATTTAATTTATTGGTTCTTTACCCTTCCTCATATCTTATAAAATCAGGCTTTAGTGTTGTTAATCAATCATATTACGACCAAACAGGGAAACCGTCTGAATATTTTCAAAAAAGGAATTTGCTTTTCATTATAAAAATTGAATTAGACTTAATACTTAGTCTCTCATCGTCAGCCATAAGGATCTCGTTAAGTAATTAAATTAAATTTTTACTTTTCATTTTCATCTTCTTCAATTTAAGCATTTTTTTAAACTAAATTTTCTGGTTTTTATAAAAAGCATAAATAAATGGATAAATTTCAACTACACACATGAGGGGGGAAATAGACCATACCTACATTTTTCAATGAACTCATGTTGATGACGTAGTGGGTACCTGATTAAGTAGAAATGGTATTTAACTGCTACTGGAATATAAGGAATCAATCTTGCTACTTTTGTGAGGGATGGGAAAGGTTGCTGATGTAAGCGAATTTGGTAGAGGTCAGATTGTAATGGCTTAAAAACTGGGAATGAGTATCTTTAGTGTGTATGACTGGTAGGTTGTTTAGGATCTGCCATTGTTAGTGTTTATGCAAAGTGGATAAATGGCAGTGGAACCAGCAGTAGATGCCAAGGTGTTGGACATCCTTGCAAAGATAAAGGATGTTGGAGACTGTCCTGCTTAGTACAGCAAAATCGGTGCTTGACAGTGACTCAGCTGACAGCCCAATACAGTGAGGTCCAAGTGCAAGTGTTTCAGAACATGCAGTTCACTAGACACTGTTGGATATAGAAACTGTGCAGCAGACGTCCCACTTGTGTGCCTCTGTTGGCCAAGTATCATTGTCAACTATGCCTACAGTGGGCCAAGGAATATCGAGACTGGGCCATGAATAAGTGGAAGGCAGCCTGGTCATGCTAAATAAATTAGCATTAATTTCATTCTTGGCCTTAGATATGAAATTCCTTGTGTTGAAATTTACCAGTTTCTTCTGCTTGTTCAAATTCCCATCCCACAAGCATATTCTGATCTTTTTTTGGATGATGATGCATGAATAATCTGCAAGTGGTTAATCCCTATATATGTATTGCATTTGATGACTCAGTATGCTAATAGTGCATGAATGCTTCTCCAAATAACATAACAAAATTTGCTTAACAGTTGCAATATAACAAGAATAAAATATTTATGGATATATTATCAGGCTGTTTTGGCCTTCCACATCTTGCACACTTAGCATCTTGCCTGACACTAACTGTTGGAGCCCAGACAGCACTTTGTACCCGAAATGGCCCAGAAGTTACATAGCAATATGTAATGAGGAGTTTAGTGTAATTCAGAATTATAATTTATTACAGTTATGTTTGCAAGCCATATTATTAATATTATATTCCAAATAATCCTTATGATTTATTGTCCTGTAACTTTACTATGTATGAGAATTTATTTTCAAAGTGTTCTTGTTAAGAAATAAATTTTTAATCTTAATTTTTGATTAGATATGGAATGGTTGAATGGTCCTACTGAAGATAGTATGGAAGTGGATATTGGTTATATCCCTCAAATGTCATTGATGTCAAATGCTATATCAGTTCCATCTAATAGTGAAAGAGGGGCAAATCAAAGTGTTTCAACCATTAAGTGGGATGTTGAATTACCATTTGAAGCAGCATTTGATGCTTTAGAACTTCAGTTATTTCCCTTTAAAAAGGTATTATTGATAAGTTTGTTCTTCATTTAAAATTGATTACAGATTATGAATAAAGGATAAACATATAACATTTTGCTCAACTGAATAGGGAAAATCAGTCTATCTTAATGCTACCTTCAGAAAAGTAAACTAAATCAGATGTAATAACTTCTGTTTAGTTTGTGTTAACCTTAGTTCATTTATACATTATGAACTGTACTCCAAATTTCATTGAGGTTATTTTTAAAATTTTTAATATTTCATGCATAAATTGTTACTTGATTATAATGATAATACTGCAGCATGACAATCTAGAAGAAGTTTTGTACTAATATGAGGTTGAACTATTTCAAATTAACTAAAATTAGTAATAAATATAATAAATTGTAAACTGAGTTTTTATTAAACACAATGTACCATGTGTAACACTCATGTGCACAAGCCTTTCATGAAATAGCTTGTAGTAGGGTAGTTTTGAAATTTCTATTGGATCTGGCATCAAGAAAGGCAGGATGTGTGACTTTCTTTGTAAACAGGTAAAGGATTTAAGTTTTTATATACTGTATATATGATTTTCATTTGTTTATGTAAATAAGGATCTATTCCACTAAACTTCTGCCCCAATGGCTGGTACAAGTTTGGTGACATCTCTGCAGCTTTCCAATTGAGCAGGATTTCATTATTGGATAAGATGTTTCATGCTTTAAATATTTCATGATAAAAGCCTATGAAACATTTTATCTGATCTCTCTCCCCCCTCTGAAATTGATAATAGTGACTGTAAGTAATCAAGGGATATCAAGCTTTTAAAAAAAAAAAATTTCTTCTATCGTTCGTTTTTTTAACATAAATTTAGTTTTATATTAGTTGTAAGTATCTAGAATTCACATTTTCTGAGCTTTTCTGCACAGTTGAGCTTTTTCTGTTTAGGATTAGTCAGGAAGATATAGGATAGAAAGTAGTATTTTAACGTCTCTTTAAGCATGCTGAAATATAAAATTTTATAAGATTAATTTTCGTTATTCACTTCCTCTTCGTCTTTTCATAGGGCAGATTGTAGCATATACATAAAATTTGATATTCTGCAACAGTTAATAAAATGCTGTAATCTGCACAGCAGAAGGCAAAGAAGGCACAATTTCAAAAAAAGCAAGGCATTAAAAGTTAATGGGCCCAGAAAAAAGGAATGTATATTAAGGTGCAAACAGCTTTTAAAAAAATAAGCATTCAAAAAATTGATTACATTGAAGAAAATATAAGAAGGAAAGTTAGTAAACATAAATTATGAACATGAAAAATTTTGCTTTTGTTAAACTTTTTAATGGGGATAATTTTATTTTGAAGAATTTTGTTTGTTTTTGTTTCCATTTATTTTTTTAGTTTGTTGTTTACTTTGACTGTAATCGAATTAGGGACATCATACTGTCATTGTGTAGCTTTTTTTTACTAATTTGTTCTATGTGTTTTGGTTAAAACCATAAAAAATATTTGAAGTAATTTTTGTAGGATTATTTTACAATTCTTTTACAAAAAATTCTTTCATGTGTTTTTACAAAGAGTTCTTAATTTCCTTAAAATTTTACCCAATGTCTTTAGTTTGTCTTCTGTATGATACCCTTTCGTATATGTACTTAAAAATTTATGCTCTGTATTCTATATCTCTTCACAGTAATTATTATGGAATAAATTTTGAATACATTTTTGGGCAAAAAATGGGCAAACAATCAAAGAAAAATGTAACATAAAAATAGAAGGGGCATATAAACAAAAATTTCCTTTAAATTTTATCGCAATGATTTAAGTACTGAAATTTTTTTGTGTGTACTTAAGTTTTAAAAAATAACAATATATTCATATAAAATACTTACAGTAAACTTTGTGTTAATCCGGCCTCGTCGGGACTTCAGGCGAATCGTGATTATCGATTTTTGTTCGGGATTCATTCAGTTTTTGCAGAGATTATAAATTATACAAGTTAAAAAAAATTATAAAAGATTTACAATTATGATCTAAAGGGTATCAATTTGACAAAAGAAAAGCTAAATTTATTGGTGTATTTATTAACATTTCTTCAAGTTAAGTTGTTTCAGGCTTCGTTTTTTATGTGATAATACATTCTTTGAATTCTATATAACAGACAAATTTCTTGTTCAGTTAAAAGGTCGCTGTTCAAGTCCTATAATGCTGTGTCGAGAATACCGACTAATTTGTCAATCGAAATTATTCATTTTCAAAAACTCTGTCACTGTAGCTAGAGGGAGAAAGCGATAATGAAGAGTGGCCTTTGACTTAAATCATATCAAAGACGGGAGTAATTGAGAAATACTACATTGAGTAAGCAATTATAAGCCAAATAAAAAAAAACATCTGCCTCAAGATACGGATAGTGCTGAAATCAATTCCTCAATTTTGCATGCAGTTTTAAAGAAAAACAAAGTTTAGATAAAACAACGTTTAAAGGTTTTTAGAATAAACAATGAGATGTATATCCATTTTTTGCATTATTCCATTTGTGGACTTAATGGCTTTTATATCTTTTATTAAAATTAATCTTTTATATTTGACATAATCGAAAGTTCAAGCTTACTTTTATAAAATTGTCTAACAGTCTGCCAAAAAAATAATAATCCGGATCAATTCGAAGAAGATTAGGAACAGAACGAAATAACGATAAAAAGGATAATTAGAAATTAAGCTTAGCTTATGACTAGCATTCGGTACAGTAACTGTTTGAGAAACGCGCACATGCAAATCGCAGCGGGTTAAAGGTCTTACGCGCATGCGTCAACGCAACGCATGCGCAGAAAGTTTGGAGCTTAGAGGTCCGGATTATGGGTGTCCGAATTAACGACTTTTGACTGTATAACGTAAATATGTAATTATCATACGTTTTCATAATTCTTCATATACTGTTTTAAAACATGTAGTGTATTTATTTTTTGGGTTACTGGGCACTAGCCATAATTGTGCATAAAAGTGTCAAATGTGGTAACTTGTTTATTTCCCTTTGGAAGTAGCTATGGAATGATGCTAGTACAAATTATTGGGAAGAATGAACATCAATCCAGTAATATTCCATATCATATTTACAGTTGTTTTTTCATTTAAAGTGTTTCCCATTCCTCTTTTAAGAAAGAGAAATTATGGATAACATGATTTCATGTTTGAGAGCTGCCAATTGAATTCTATTAAGACAATTGTATAATCCTTGCTGAAAGAAAAACCCCTGAATAAAATTGTATTTTACTACTACCAGAATACTGAAAATGGTGCTGCTATGATGTGGGGGGGGGGAAAAAGTCATGCCACAAAAATAAAGGTTCACACATTTTTCCCCCTACTAGCTATTTGGTTTATTTACTTCTGCTGCGAAACTCACACTAGTGGAATTCTGTCAACTGAAACTAGGAATCATTCACTATATAACTATATATTGGAATAATTCTGTGTATTCTTATTTACAAATTTCTGTATTTGTCTGTGCATTTTGCATTTATTTTTGATTTAATAAAATAGAAATTCTTTTCAGTAGAGTTGCTATTCTTATCAATTGTTAGATTTTTCACCAATGATTGTTGATAAATTGTGCCCTATTAACACCCCCCCCAAAAAAAATTTTTTTCTGATGCTAAACTTTGTTTACTAATTTTGTTGAGTTTAACTATTATTCTGATTTTATTCTTATATTTGAACTAGGTGAAATACTACAATATATCTGAAGCATTTAATAGAGCAAAAATGGAATCAAAGTTAGTCCATGGAATAATTTTATGGGGAAATCTGGATGATCAGTCATGCTGAGGTTCAGGGCGGACTTTGCGAGAAACAGCTCTTGCAAGTCCGCCCATAGTAAATCTTCTCAAGATGCATTTCATAAGTTTTTGGTCTATTGTGGCAACATTAGAAGTAAGTATGCATGGGGGATAAAATTCTTATTTTGCAAGGGTAGATCAATAATTAAATAACCAGCCAATAAACATTAAGGAAACACAATTTGTCTGGGGATTTTTACAGTAATAATAGACACATGCTTATATAAGTGGAATATTTGTGTCACATTATGTGCGTGTGGTGAAAATTGGAAGCATTCGTATTTGGCAACAAAGCCTGCTTGCTAGTTATAGAGAGGATTGGACATGCTGGAATCTATTGGCAAAAGCAATGTAGGTATGGTTCATGTCCTCACTCTAGACATTGCCTAGGTTATACAGACCAAAGAAATTTCAGGGAGGAATGATAAACATGCAGAATAACCAGATGCAGACGTATCCAGAAAATGGGAAAATGGCCAATCATGCACATCAGAAAGTATTATTTGTCTTATGCTTCCAAAACCAAAAAATAATATTCTATGCAACTGCAACTGCTGTAAAACTTAACTTTATTACTGTGCAGACAATTGTGCAAAATAACTGAATTTTCTTACTTGGATTATGCAAAATTCCCTTCAGATTTGCTCAAATATATAAAACATGTTATTTCCCTGAAGTCCAAACTGCTGGTTGTTGCAAATACCAACATTTAGGACATTTGCTGCTAAACATTTGTATTTTATTCATGTTATGAATTTATATTGCTAGCTGTTAGACTGCACTTCTAGCATTCTAATTCTTCAGAATACATTTTGAATTTTCTGGTTGAAAAATATGAAAAGGTTAAGCCTAAATATTTCTTTGCTTTACATTGCATTCTTATTCTTACATTCTTAAGCTTTGCAATTCTTAGTTTCAAGAGCTGAAATGTAAATAATATATATATATTTTATATCTGTAAAGATACTTAGTATTTGGATTATGAATATCATTCTGTAATTCTAGACTAAACGTATTTTCATTTACAGAAATTCAGAACATCATTAGCCCAAAGAGTGTTAACCCAGAAGGGGTATTAATTTCGTTTGGTAATTTAATCATAGTATTACTCCGTTGAAAATGAAGTAAACATTAGAAAATATAGTCAATATTTCTTTTTAAATCGTATTTAGCAAATTATCCTCTTTCAGTTAAATGTCACTTATAAGATTTACATAAATATCTTGTTGCTTTTTTTTTTTTTTTGGTCCCCCCCTGCCAGGTACATGTTTTTCCATCTTAATGGATAGATTTTCTAGTATTTCAAATGTTATAACTGCACGTTTTCAGTTTTCACAATCATGTCAGAGCTGTTCCATCATTTACTTTCCTTAATGACTACTTCTAAATAACTTAAGATAATTGCCTAGAGAAAAACATGAACTAAAAGTATTGTTTAATAAATATAACTTTTAAGGTCTTAAAAATTATAGGAAGCCATAAATTCATGTTTCTAATCCATAACTGTTTATGGAATAACTAGAATTAATGAAAACCTTTAGAGTTTTTGCAAGTTGTTGAATGTTGAGATTCTCGTGTATATAAAGCAATAATTAAACATTTGATACAAAATGGGATATAACCTGCAAGCACGGAGTACAAAGTTGGAGGTGAAATTGCATAGTAGAAAAACAGGTAAAAAAATGTCACAATCACTAGATAGCACTGTGGTTGTCTTTTGGCCATTCCAAATGTAAACATTATATGCCTTTCCTAATGGAAGACGAAATGTTGATATTTTTATGTGATGGTTTGTGTTTATAACTTTATGTACAAATTTTTAAGTGTGTGGGATAATACTGTTTGCTACTCTTAATGTTAAATTTGTGAGATAATATACTTCACTGATATTTCTGTTCACTAATACGTTGCATATTCGGAAACTAAGTAACGTTTCATTCTAGCACCGTCGCAGCGCTGTGGTAGGCGCCCCGCGCATGTGCACTAGTCTTTCTTGTTCACTGACTTTCAATTGTCGCCATTTTGGTTGCTCTATGTTGTGTTTTCAGTGTTTTTTTCAGTGTGTTGTGCACGTTCAAAATGTTTAGACAATTTAGTTCTCCCGCTGACTTGAGATTCGTGCCGTGATTAAATTTTTGAACGCGAGGAAGGAGGAATGTAAAACTGGCTGAAATTATCGTCAGTGAGTGACAGAAGTTTACGGTGAATACGCGATATATGTAGTGATGGAATGATGGTGAGAAAGTGGGTAAGTAAGAATGTTTAATGTAGGTCGAACAAATGTCCACGCCGAGGCTCGGAGTTGTCGGCCTTCTGCGATGATTGGAAGGAAAGTGTGATGAAGCAATTAATGTCATGAGAACAGACGCTTCACAATGACAACTCTTTCAGAGGATTTCCACAAATTTCACGTACTGTTTTGTTCGAAATTTGTGCTGTTGAATTCGAATGAATTAATCTGACAACTGTGTTCCCGTTGTGTTCCAAAAATGCTCACTGATGTTCAACAAAACAAAGCGACATTGGTAGTGCCCTGACATTTCTCACGCGCGTGTAACATGATGAGGGAGGAAGAAACTTTCACACCAGAATCGAAACAAACAATCGATGGAGATGGAAACAATCATTCTCCGAAAAAACAACATTTCCGAAAAAAAAAAGTGACAATGTCATCACAAAAAATCATAGGCACTGTCTTCTGGATAGGAAAGGCGTTTTTGCTTACTGAATTTTTCCCCAAGGTGAAACATTAATGCGGCACGATATTGGTGTGAGAATTTTACAAAACTAAGGCCCGTGCCATTCAGTAAAACAAATGAAGAAGAAGGCTCAGTAAAGGAATGTGTGTTGTCTCAGACAATGACAATGCCCCACCCGGCCCCATACTAGCTGGTGTCATCAATCATTAATTCGACAGTTTCATTGAGAGCAGTTCGATTACCCGCCATACAGCCCGGACTGCCGCCGGTTGCGCCATATGCTACCGCTGTACGGACTTTTCCTGCACAGAGAGCGAGCGGGACGAAACCAGCGCTGACGGGACTTGGGTTCCTAGACGACATGAACCCACATGAAGAGCTTGGTGACAAAAGCGCTTGGACTTTGGATCTGACAATGGACAAAAAAAAATTGGGCTACGTGGGTTTTTCGGTTTTTATCGAAACTTTACGAGAAGTTTCTTTGACGATGGTTACAAAATTGGTTCCCACTATGATAAAGTTTGATTTGCGGTTTTTTTTGAAAACTATGTTTGAAATTGTTTTTCAAGTAAAAGTAAAATTTGGATTCGAAAAATGTTATTTTACATTTCTATTTTTTTTTTTTTTTTTCCTCAAAACGGTATTAGTTTCGAATACGCCTTGTAATTATATTTTATTCTTCAAACTATAAAATATAATTTACAGCTTCCGTGGTTAAAGGATTGTTGTACTTTTTAGGAATGATTAAGTTGAAGATCATTTTCAATCCCCCTTTAGGAAAATAATCATATTGCTGTTAATAATACTTAATGTATGCATGTTAAATTTAGTTAGGTTTTTTCCCTGTTCCATTTTGTAAAATGCTTGTATAATAACACAATTTGATATAAACTGTTGTAAAATATTAATGAACATTATAGAATTTTTTGCTTTAGTCAGTAAATTTTCTTTTCTGTGATAATGAGTTATTCCTACTTATGAATCAAACATCAATTTTGATTTTGATATTTTCATCATTTTCTGTTAAAAATTTTCATACCTTTGTTATATTAGAAGGGCTGAATTATGTTATATATCAGTATGAAAAGATTCTTAAATAGTAGTCCGATTTAAATCCAGTTAAGTTTTCTGGTTACTCTGAACTCTATATTATTCATAATTAAAGGATGACAGCAGTAAAAAAATATATTAGAACTAATTCAAAATTGTTTCACAATAGTAAAGTTAAATTAGATTTAAATAATTCTCTTGCACCATTGCTGCAAGGAATGAAATTTGAATTTAACAAATATTCTATATTCGTAAAAAGCTAATAAAAATTAAAAATTTAATGAAGAAATTTTAATTGAAAAAATAATCAAATTAGAACTAATTCAATATATCTTTAATTATTGTCCTGTTTGTATTTTGAACTAACTTCTAATGAATAAATGGAACATTTTAACTTAAAGAAATACTGTAGATCTTTAGTATTTTAAAACTACATGTGCCAAATTCTTTACTCCCAAGAGATATGTATGTAGACATTGAGCTATTGTCCATGGTTAAATTACATATCACTCTGATTACCTACAACAGTGGGTTTTTTTTTTTTTTTTTTTTTTTTTGCCCTAAAATAAATGTAGTCAATAGGTTTCCAAAGTAGATCATTCTACTTCATTTAATGACCTAAGTAATGTATTTTTTATGGTTAGAAAATTCTTACCGCAGTTATAATGAGCTGATATTTTCTCTCTGTTAAAGTCAACATAAGTTTCAAATTGGTACATGTACCTTTCTGAAGGGGGGAAAAAAATGCTTTGCATGTGCTATATTTTACTGGAAAAAATATTCCCCCCCCACACACACTTTTTTTATATTAATTTATTGAATTGGTACATTGATATCACTCCGAGTCTAGTACTAATCTGATAGAGTCTAGTACATTTGCTGGAAAATTGCCTGTTTAATATCGGAATACTTAATGTATGTTTGCTGCTGTATTTAAAAAATATCATTACCTATTGTAAACTAAGCCCATTTTTCTTGCAGTAACTATTTACTTTTTTATTCTCAGTTTAATATCTCATTTTCAACCATTGAAGACTTGCAATGAAAGAAGCAAGTTGAATTAAATAAAAACTTTTTATTTTTGTGTAAAAATTTAATTAAAAAAATGTAACGGTAATTGCAGAAATAATCCTGAAACAATCTTAGCAATATTGTTTTCCACTGTTACACACAGTGGTGAGCTATAGGAGCCTAGAATTATCCCTTTGTTAAATTTGTGTTCAGTTTGCAAGCCCCTTGTTCTTTGGCCCACCAGTAACCAAGCGATAAAAGTCGCTGAACCCTAGTAGTTCAATCCAGGGTTCGAATCCTGGAGAACAGGCTGGCTGCATGGTCGTTTTCATGG